CAGAACCTATTGATCTGCCTTGGTTCTTCATGAAGCTGGCCTTTCCATGGAGTTGTTCAAGAAAGAAAATTAGTCATGTCTGGAGACTGACATTAAGATCGTGAGAACCATTCTGGTGTTTCTAAGAGTTACCATCCACTATGCCATAGGAGACAGTAGACCGGATTTTGACCATACAGATGGGATTTCAAATCCTTGCCCAGACAAAACACACAAGATGTTCTGGAGCAAATGTACAAGTCTAGCATAATTCACAAAGGCACTGGGAAGACAAAAGTATAGCTGTATCGTGTAGCCAATCGACTGGAAGAGATGGCATAATATAATAAATATCTTACCACCTGGTGATAATAATAGACATGAAGGAGAACGTCACATTTGCTAAACTACCACAAAGTCTTTTATTGTGTGTATAAAATACTAAATCCTCGGCTCCTCGGCTGTGGAACGCCCTTCCAACAGAAATTCGGCTGGCACCCTCGCTGGGTGTTTTTAAAAGCCAGTTAAAAACTTGGTTATTCAAGCAGGCCTTCCCTCCAGTCAATTAAGTCTTTCTCTTTTTCTTTTTCTTTGCTATTCCATCTTGGTAATCCTCTCTTTAAATTAATTGTTTTAAATTGAAACTGTAGTTGTAATTTTTATGATTTTATATATTTTTATACTGTTTTGTTTTATTTTGTAAGCCGCCCCGAGTAGACATGGTCTAGAGGGGCGGGGTAAAAATCAAATAAATAAATAAATAAAAATAAATAAAACAAACCCCCCAGGAGGGGGACACAGAAGCAAACAGCCTGCGTCTTATGCAGCGGGTGCAAGGAAAGCTCCCTATCAGTTTCTGAGGGGGATCCTCTCTGCTCAAAAGTTTTTGCCCCCTCCCTGGGTACCGCAAGGTCCTTCCGCTCCCTGGCCCATCTCTGACCTCCTTTGCCTTCTTTTCTCCATACCTTTAACCTCCTCCCCAGTTCTGAAGTGGGGAGTTGGTGCCAAGAGCCGTAGGAGGGCGAGCAGCAGCCATCTCCTGGGAATCTCCTCCATTCCATGTTTCAGAAAGATCGTTGCTCTTTAATTTCATGTATGCATTTGCTAAGTATAGTTAACATTTAATGATGAATCCTCTGATTCTTTCAGATTTGAACAAGAATTCATAAACTCTTTGATTAAAAAGTATAGTGGAGTTGACATCATCTATTTCTGGACTGGCTTGCAAGATATTAACTCTTCGGGAGAATATATCTGGGGAAGTGCAGATGGAAATCATGAAATGCTAACGTACACAAACTGGGGTTATTTTCAACCAGGTAAATTTCTAAAATGAAGGAAGTGCTGCTGTGTGTTCTGTGATACAACCCTGAACAATCTGTTTCTCAGAATATCATATTAATAGTTAACATGCACATTTTAAAAAATCCATATTCTAGAAACCCGTGGAGGATGTGCTGTTATGTCACACGGTGGACAGCTTGGAAAATGGGAGGTGAAGGATTGCAAAACATTTAAAGCATACTCAATTTGCAAGAAGTACGTTGGACCCAAAAGAGAACAAGACAAGCCTCCTAAAGTAACTGACCCTTGTCCTCCAGGGTGGCAGAGTGGATCAGGTCTTTCCTGTTACAAGGTAGTGTATTGTTCCTTTTAATTCTCCTAACTACTCAAGAGAATATACACAAATACATACTGTTCATGTTCTTATACTACAGTGGTGCCTCGCTTGAGGACATTAATTTGTTCCAGCGAAATCGCTGTAGAGCGAAATCGTCGTCAAGCGAAATAAAAAAAAACCATTGAAACACATTGAAAACCGTTCAGTGCGTTCCAGTGGGCAAAATACCTGCTCGTCCAGCGAAGATCCTCCATACGGCGACCATTTTCTGGTGCCTGTAATGTGAGGAATCCATCCCTAACACAGCGGGGAGCCATTTTCTACAGCCGGTGGCCAATTTGAAACCCGACGATAAGCTGTTTGCTGATAGTCGTAAAGCGAAAAATTGGTTCCTGAAGCAGGGAACCGATCAACATTAAGCAAAATCCCCCCATCTAAACATCGCTTTGCGAATGCAAAAACGATCGCAAAAAGTTCAGCGTTAAGCGGGTTCATCATCAAGCGGGGTAATCGTTCAGCGGGGCACCACTGTACTTTGGTTTATGCCTTAAAATCTGTAGAATATCTTGACAGTAGTTCCTCTTGTGCTTTATGTATAATATGGATCTGGATTTTCTCTTTTGTGAACAGAAGGACTTGTTCTGTTTACAGAAGTATCTGATCTGGTGGAAGCTCCTGCTTGCCCACAGCAGAAATGGCAGTTTTCACGAGCTGCTCTTTCTCTGCAGCCCATTGCACCACCTTGCATGCTCTTACAGATGGATGCAAAGGGAAAAGGAGATCAGAAAAAATAATCTGTCCTCTTCCTGCAATAGAAGTGTCTGTCTTAATACAGTTAACACCTATGAGAACTTGGAATCCAAGGCAACAAGATTTAATAGGCTTTCCGGACCCTGCTTCTTATTGTGAAGAAGACAGAGAGGACGAATGGAAATGTGCTTCTGCATGACAAAGAACAGTATCCTATTCCATGTGGTGGTGGTGGTAGTTGCGGAAGTGGATTTGGCTATCTAGTGATGCTCTTGTGCTAGTCGCATGACCAGGCACAGAACAGGCACTATGTCCATTAGCCCCATCTGCTTCCATGATTGCTGTTGCACATATTCAAGCATGATCGTGGCCCAAATCTGGTGAGCCAAATAATGCCTTCTTGTTTTCTTCTGAAGTTCTTCCATAAAGAAAGAGTGCTGAGAACCAGAACCTGGGAAGAAGCAGAGAGATTCTGCGAAGAACTTGGAGGACACCTTCCTAGTTTCAGCCACTTAAAGGAAATAAGGGAGTTCCATACCATACTGAGAGAGATCATCAGGTACTATTTCTTAGTATGCTGGTATTCTGCCGCACATCAGTGGAGGGCCAGAAGTGCTTTCCTTCCTATCTGTGAATAATGCAGTATTTGTGATAGGGTAGGTAAAGTAGTGATGAAAAATATTAAAATACATGAGAGTCATAAAAGTGATCTCAAATCATATTCTGTGAGACAGAAGGGGAAAAATGTATACTTTACCAAGGGAGAGGAGTGAGGGAAGATTCCCATTGTTCCATGTGCAGACCCCTTGTGTGCGAAAAGCTATTGTCTGATATTTGAGGTTAATGTGACATTAAACTGTGTTACAGAAGAACTAAATCCTGGCCTTAATCACAATCATAATAATCTTGGAAGTGCCAAGCTGGAAAGGACCCTAAGGATCATCAAGTCTAGCCCCTGTCAAGGAGGCACAGTAGGGTATTGAACTGCCAACTTCTGGCTGCGCAGCCAGATGCCTAAACCACTGAGCTATCCAGCGGTTCATTAACAAAAATTAACATGCACTAAAAAAAAATTAAATTTATGCGACACAGATTTGTGTTTTCTTAGTAAGTAGCAACTGGGGTGGGGAGGGAAGACAAGTTGGAAGAGGGCCTTAGTAGGGGCACAGAATTAACACAGATTAGACATACAATGGACAAACTAATGTCCAACTGAGTTGAAACCAGTAGTGATTGTTGCACCACAAGTTTTCGGAATTGCAATTTTTAAAAAACCTGTGCCTTAACAAGAACAAATGCCTACACTAATGTCTTCACTTGTGGCAATTCACAAACAAGATTTATGCTAATTGTATTATTCTGGTATCAAAACTCAATAAGATTTTGGTTTTCCCGAAACCAATTTGTTTTGCGTTTTTTAATTGCACATGTTTTATTTTATCATTGCTACTTGTCTTAAGTGCCCTTATTTGGGACTGCCCTATTCTTTGAGACATATCCAACAAACAAAATAAATGCACCTTGGCTCATTTTTCAGCTTGCCCATTTCACTGTTGTAGAGAGACCTGTGCCTCATCTATATTGTTGTTATGGCTCTCTTTTGTACTGTAGATGCATAAGTGCTGTGGTAATTGTACTAAAAACGCCCTTCTCTTTATGTGCTCTTTGATTTGCAGCAATGACAGATGGGTCTGGGTTGGGCTAAATAAGAGGAATCCAGAATCTCAAGGATCGTGGCAGTGGAGTGACAATAAACCTGTAAGTTACATTGCCGGTTATAGAATTAATGAAACACGATTTTCCCAAGAAGTGCTTGAAATTCCCATCTGTAGACACTGCTCTGATCTTCTAACCGGATGAAATCAGTCTGTGGACACATATTTAATTTTTTCAGCGTGACATAAAAACAAAATCTGTGGAGATGGGTGGATTCTTTCATGCTTATTGAAGTATATGTGGGTGTCTTTTTTTTAACGATTTAGAGTGTTACTGTGGTTTCACATCTTCTGTAAAGGATTGTGTCCATATTGAAACATCGGAAGGGAAAGTTTTGACACAATCTACCAAAGTACACATTTACTAACAGTATTTAGTAGATGCGATTTATTTAATACTACTATCAACCACAGTGACAGATAATCTTCATCGGAAGGGAAAGTTTTGATACAATCCACCAACAGTATTTAGTAGAGGTGCTCTTTCTTCCCCTTCATAGTTTTTACAGAAGTAAAAATTCTTATGAGTGGCCTCCCTGTAAGAGAGGGCAGGAAACACGACTCACTTGCCAGCCCTCACCAGAGAAAACGAGATAAGGTTTGTAGAGCTGCTCTTTCTTCCCCTTCATAGTTTTTACAGAAGTAAAAATTCTTATGAGTGGCCTCCCTGTAAGAGAGGGCAGGAAACACGACTCACTTGCCAGCCCTCACCAGAGAAAACGAGATAAGGTTTGCCATCTATCAGCGTCTAAGGACTGCAACCCAGTATTGCCACATCTTGCTAAATTAAGATTAATAAATGAAGTTACGTAGTAATTTGCAGTTGTTCTCTTATCTTCGTGTAGGTGTCTACTGTTCTTATGCCGGCTGAGTTTAGAGAAGATGAATACGATACCAGAAACTGTGCAGCTCTCAAGGTGCCCTGAAATTTTTTTTTCTTTAGCAAGAATGCAATCCTATGCATCCCCAATTGTGCTGAAGGCAGTATTTTTTTATTTTTTTATTTAAAATGTTTTTAAAGCCACCTTTCTCCTTAAGTAAGAACCCAAGGCAGCTTACATCATTAAAAGATAATATTTAAAAGCGGAAAACAAACATTAAAAGAAAATCAAACAAATACCACACTAAAAAATGGTAAACAGTGTCAACACCACGAAAGCAACTAGGCACAACAATCCATTTAAGAGCCCCTCTCAGTCAGCTGGTCACTAAGAGAAAGCCTGAACAGGAAGGTCTTCCCTTGGTTGAGGAAGGACAGCAAAGATGGGGTCAGCCTTGCCTCTTGTGGGAGGGAAAGTTCCAGAGTGTGGGAGCAGCAACAGAGAAAGCCCCTCTCCCATGCCGCCGCCCCCCCATGCATCAGTGAAACTGGTCAAGAGAAAAGAGTAAATGTGGAACTGACAGTCTGATCAAAAGTAAGCCTCAATGGATTTAGTGGAACAAACACATAAGTGTGTATGAGACTGCGAATGGTATTAGATGAGTAGAGGTTTGCATTCTGTGTATTACATTTTGATGCAGTGGTTAAAGTTCAGTAATGCAGTCAAAAACTCTGCCTGTGACCTGTATTTGATCTCAAGTGGATTCAGGTAGCCAGCTCATGGTTGACTCAGCCTTCCATCCTTCTGAGGTCAGTAAATGAGTACCTCGTTTACAGGGTGGAGGGGAGGGAAATGTATAGCCTGCACAAATAAATTGTAAACTGCCCAGCGAGCACTTTATGTGATATGGGGAGGTATATAAGCAGCACACTTTGCTTTATATTGTTAGAGGCTTCGGCTGTATCTTCTGGAGAACACATTTGTCAGGGGAGAAGCACGGGGGAATAAAGCGTGCCGCTTAACCCCATGGTTTGTCAGTTTTGCACTTCAACATCTTGCATCCACTTTCTAGCTTTTTGCAGAGATTCCAAACAAACTTGTAAAGGACCATTAGGTTTTAGACCCCATAAGTCCCATCACCCCTCTTGACTACAGTGAAAAGTGCTGCCTTCCAGAGGTCAGTCTCAGCAACAAGCAGTGGTTCAATTTTAAGTAATGTGTTATATGGCCACTGGGTTATGGTCTTTTACTTGGAAAAATGCCCCAGTAGAGACAATTAGATTTGGTTGTAATGCACAGACCACCAAGTAGCTTTCTTTTCTTGTTTTTGCTATGTGCCATCAAATCAGAACTGACTTATACAGTATATCACAGAAGTGAGCACACCCCCATATATTTCATAAATATTTTAGTATATCTTTTCATGTGACAACACTGAAGAAATGACACTTGGCTACAATGTAAAGCAGTGAGTATACAGCTTGTATTACAGTGTAAATGTGCTGTCCCCTCAAAGTAATGCAGCATACAGCCATTAATATCTAAACCGCTGGCAACAAAAATCAGTACACCACTGCTTTACATTGTAGCCAAGTGTCATTTCTTCAGTGTTGTCACATGAAAAGATATACTAAAATATTTATAAAATGTGAAGCGGTGTACTCACTTCTGTGGCATACTGCAGCAATTCCAGCAGGGTTTTCAAAGTATTTAATTTTTAAAAAAATTAATTCATATATATTTATTCATTTTCAAACAAAACAAGTATATAAAGCAGTACCAATATATCTACTTAAAATAAACAAATCCATAATTATCAACCCTTTTTCAAGATATTTAAGGTGGGTTTTTATCGGTTTCACACCCCCAGTGAGTTACTATGGCTGAGCATGGATTCAAAGCCAGGCCTCCTGAGTCCTAGTCTGTCACTTTATCCACTACGCTGCTGGTAGCTTTTTTTTTTTTAATCCACTGGAAAACCTGGCAAAAAGAAAGTAAGGAAGAATGCAATTCTGTGCACACACACCTGCAACTAAGCTTTTTGAAAAAGGTGGAATTTATTTTCCTATGAACGTCCATAGCATTACACTGATTGTGCAGGATGTGAGACAGATTCTTACATATTTCACTGTTTCTTTCTTACTGTTGTGCAGACGCTTAGAGCAATACGACGATCATATTATATGTACTATCTTGATGACAGAGAGGAGGATTTCTACCTAAAACCTTTCCACTGTGGTTCAAAACTTGAATGGGTATGCCAGATCCCTAAAGGTAACTTTGCATCACAAACCATGACCTCAGCATATTTACTAGAAGTCAGTCCCATTGTATTGAGTATGGTTTATCCCCAAATGAGCATGCCCAGGACTTGATTTCATTTAGTATGACAGTGTGAATTGCCATGGTCTTCTCTCCTGAACCACGTGACTTTGAAAATGTAGGGTTTTTTTTATTTTCACCTGAGACAGAGAGCTTTTTAAAAAGTTTTTCTTAAATCAGTTTTTGAATCTGCTCCATCTACATCACATTGGCCAAAATCCTGTTATCAGTTTATACTTATATAAGAAACATCTTTGCAACAAATTGCCACTAGTTAACAAGGTGCCGGTTGTATTCCTGGATAGATGCAGGAGCACACAGATTCATAATCAGCACCTTATTAATGAGCAGCAATTTCCCACCAAGACTAGTACACTTTCCCTTGCAGAAGTGTATGCAGGTGTAAACTGGCAACAGGATTATGGCCATTGGCTAGAGAACGTACATACTGTATATACAAATTCATCTCATACATTTTCTGCCCACGTAAGCAGCATTCACTAGGAGAGCTCATTGTACCATTAGACAAAGTAAGGCAGCCACATCTGGCAGTGAAATTTGAGTATTTTTCACACTGGCTGTTTAATCTACCATTATATTTTTATTAGAGTTTCCTAGATATAGTGTGCTCAGATGTTGTTCATCACTCTCTTCTTCTGGGGGTGCTCTGAGACTCTGCAGCTTGTCCAGGATCCAACAAGCATGCTGTTCTCCTGGGAGACATGGTTGGGAATTGAACTCACCACCTTTCGAACTCCTATGGACTGAACTTTCTAGTCAGCTTACTAAAACTACAACTGCTGTAGTAAAAGATCTCCTTACCTGTTGGAACAAAACTGTATGGGAGATACACAACAGCTGTTCGAAAAAGCGACATTCTCTTCTCTGAACAGCAATACGTCGTGAATGCATTGCATAGAATCCTTGTGCTCCAAGCAGCTTGGTCTGCTCCAGTCCATTGGCTGCTTAGAACATGATGCCATAATATCACATGCTGTATCCAACTCTTTGCGAGAGCTTTGTTTTGACTTCCATGATCAAATCAGTAGTGGATTTTGCTTAGTAACCCTGGTCTGATCTAGAAACAGAACCTAGAATGTTACTAGTTGCCTATTGTTTGTAAAATGTGATTGTTTAACATTACCCCCTTATTTGAAGACCACAGTCCTAATGCATTACTTTTAGTTATTTTAATTTTTTTTCTGAAGAAAAAGTATATTTAAAAATATAACTATGTCCCCAGATTATCTTAAATGAGCCAACTGAGCAGTGCTTAAGGAGTGAGAAGTAAACATCCTTATGTTAATTTTAAAAAGCCATTTTTGTTGCCCCTTCATGACCCTGCCTGGAAGTATAATATTTACAGCAGCCTCTTCTAAGTAGAAGGAAGAGAAAGCTACCCTGACACCACTGATGCTTGTTAGATTACAGATACAGTATTACAGTACATTAAAATAAAGAGAGAGATGTGGCTTTCTTTGAAATTGTGGTTGCATTCAAGTTTATGAACTGATAACGGGTGCCTATATGTTAGGTACAATCTCACATCTGTCGTCTTGAAACCCTGTCTCCCTTCTAAACAAGAGAAAATCAGTATGTTTGTGGTGATTTCTCCTTCTTGTATCAACAGGCAGAATTGTAAATACTCCAGAATGGTACAAACCAGGTAAGCTGACATCTTATTTTTTCCAACTCATCACTGACTAAAATGGGTTTCACACTTGGAACTGTAAAGTCCTCATGATATTTGAAACAAATACTTTAGTAAATTCAGATGCCCTACTTCCTTCACCCTCATAGAAACTCAGAAGCAGATAAAACTATTATTGTAGTCTCTGCTGCCAAGGATGTGAAAAACCTGTCTTATTTTTTGCAAAAAAATTCTCAGAACCCCACTAAGATTGTTCTCCTCTTTCTAATTTAGTATCAAGTTGTGAAACACTTTTCCCTCTTCCTATATTGAAGTTCATGCAAGTTCCCCCTAATGTGTGCATTTTAACAGGTTGTCTTATTGACTGAAGCCTGCTTAGGTGCATGTGCACCCCACCAGCAGAGCCAGGATTCTCTGTTAATAACTCCGTGGGCTCCATCTCAGCTTCTTGACTCATACCAATTTTTATGAGAGTAACAGCAGAAGCCCCATAGGGTTGAACTGCAGTCTCTAAACTGCTTGTTAAGTCCAGGTTCTGGAAGACAGGAAGGAGGAGAGCTCCTAGGTCCAAAATACATTGAGATGTAAATGAGTACAAGAACTCAGTCTCTGCACCTTGTCTCTCTTAATCCTTTTCCCTCACTTGCTTTTCCAGAGCCACCACCACATCCAGGCTAACATAGCCTTGCCCAGGCACATGGCTGGATCCCCCAGTTCCTGGCTTCTGGTGCTAGTCAATAAACCTGGCAAGGGTAGACAGCTTCTAGCATCCTCCCGCACATCCCTTTATTCCCAGATAAGCAGGGAGCCTTTGCCTTTCCAGTTCTGCTGTCTTATACCCTTTGCCCCTGCCTCTTCCAGCTGCATCTCCTCAGGGCACTGTCTACTTCTGCCACTGCAGGGCCTCCCTCCAGCTGGCCTGATCCTACAGAGACTCCCTGTCCTCCCGGCTGCCTGCTACCTGTGTACTGAGGCAGACCTCTTGCTAGGGGTGCATGCCTGCACCCTCTCACAGTGACCTTTTCAAATAGGCAGATTTATCAGACGTACACATAATTTTGTGGATATTTTTTGTTTCTGAGGCAAGGTAAGATTTATTGCTTTGTCAGTGTCAGGGGGTACCTACAAATGTATTTTCCCTCCCTGAGTGCCTTAGATGGTCAAAGGGTGCTCCAGTGTAACAGGTGTTGATGGGAGGAGCTCATAAAGAGTCCACCAAGCCTTATACATTTCACTGGTTTCCCCCTAGTTATGTAGTCTAAACAACCTCTGATTTGTTAGCTGAGCTGTTCATAGACTGATGTCCTGCTTCCTCTCAAATCATCTCCTTAATTCCAAGCCAGCAATTCGGACAAGGTCTATGCTAAAGGAAATCAACAGTCAGATGTAACATAATATGTAGTGCGATATACTGTTTTAATAGTGACTTCAGAGCACTGGTAGGACTCTGGACAGGAAAAAAAATGTGTATTCCCAGTGACCAATAACCAATAAGGACTGGAAACATGCAATAATTGTATACAACGTAGTGAACAAACTTAGATTTGGGCTTACCACATCTTCAAGAAATAGATAAACAAGAATAGTCAGAGAGAAGAACTGACGTAAAAGTATCAGGCAAAATCCAAAGAAACAAAAATATACAAAAACATGTGGCACCTTAAAGACTACAGTATTATATTTTAATGTGAGCATAAAAGTGTCTCCAGTCCCAATAACAAACAGGCATGCAGCAAAGAATCTGAGAAAAATGGTCCTTAACCTAGAAAAGCATTTAGTCAGTAAAATAGTTAGTCTTTAAGATGCCAGACAACCCCTTGTTTTTGCTACAATAGACTAACATGGCTGAATGAATATTAAGGATTTAGCATATTAGTGATGTCTCATGAATGTTTTATAAGTAACAAGAATCATGTTAATTATTGCAAAACAATTCCCCCAGATATAATTCTCACACTCATTGGGCTTATTTCACTTGATTTTTCATGCAAAAGGAGGGGGGGAAACTTGCATTGGATGAGCTGTGGGATATATTCTGACCCCATCAGAGTTCCAGTGAAGAATCAGGGTTAGATGTTTAGTTAGTATTAAATTATAATCAACCCTTCTTATTTCCTGACACACACCCCCATTGGTGAAATTTTGATTTCCTCTCAATGTGGCCAGCTTACTGCCAACCAGAGCACATTGCTTCTGCTTCTTTGCTTTGTAGTTCTGCAAAAATGGCATGGAAGATGACTCTCTGCTGGGGTGATGCAATCACATTGTAGTATGTTGGTGAGACAAAAAAGTACCCAAGATTTGTTGCAGAATTTTTTGTCCCTGTTTATTTAAAAAAACAAGCATGCACACATGCATGCATAAACACACAAACAAATCTATACATTGGCTGAAATTGTTTTCAGCTGTGCAAGGAACAATGTTGCAGAGTGCCTATAACACAGAGATCTAATTCTGTATAGATTCTGCGACAAAACATGACACTCGGAGACATAAATGTCCCATCCTGACGCATGATGGTTGAAGTTATCTGTGTCTTTTGGAGGGGGGGACTGAATACAGTTCTCCTTCAGCTCTTTCTTCCCATACAGTTCTCTTGTGTCTTGACAGTACCTCAATCATTATAAATACTCCTAAGGAGAAAATGGTTCTTGGTGCCAGCACAGGTTATGCTGTCCTCGCATCATGCCTACATTTTGCCACAGTGTGTTTCAGAGCACCAAACCATGGCCCTAAGCATAGAAACGCCTGTTTACTGTGCCCTGTTTTGATTTCAGCCAGCAGTGGTTTTGCTCTGCAACTGAAGCAAGCAAGCACCTTAGACTGCTGCTCTTGGGGAAGTGTATAGACATTGTTCTTCTGTCAACATGAAATGTTTACTGCATTCATGCCCAGTAATTTTAGATAATTCACTCAGCTTCATTGTTGCATGGATGCTAACATGTTCTTGATCTGTGAAGTTTTGAGGAGCAAAGATGGAGGTTATGCATGTATGTAGTGTTTTATTTAGTACAAACTTCTAACTGTGGCTTCTTCTTTTCCTTACAGATGAAGATAGAGTTGATACGCTAAATATCGATGGGTCTGAATTCTGGTTTGTGCCAGATAAGCGCTTGAGCTATCAAGAAGCTGCTCTTTACTGTTCTGAAAACGGAAGTGATTTGGCTTACGTGACCTCTTTCACAGCACTAACTACAATTCTAAGCAGAATAGCACATGTAATGCACCAATTTTTTGTCTTTGATAACTTTGCTTGTGAGAGTGTATCTGTGCTAAAATAGTTGATACCTCTTTCTTTATTATTATTCAAAGTTGCTTAGGCAGACCTGTGAGACCCACAATAAATATGGCTGGAAGGGAAGATACGGTATAGCAAATGTATTATCATGCATTCAGTGAGAGCGAAAGCTGTTCCTTCTCTGTATTCCCCAGCTTTTCTTCAGTAGAAAGGGAGAACAGAGCAGGAATAGAGGGTAACCAGTGCATGTCTAATTCTCTCTGACTGGAATTATGTGTGCTTGAAGCATGGTTAAGCTCAGCTTAAGAGAAAAAAACAATGCGAGAAGAGTGTAAGGAAAGAGTGTGAAGTGCTGTTTCTCATGTAATGCAGACAAAACAAGGCTGATCACGAAAACCTTAACTGCTTAAGTTGTCTTAGTAGATGAGTTGAATGTTTCTCATCTTTCAGACGTTCTATGGGAAGGATGTGCACAGGCAGTTCTATGAATGTGTCCATTTATTCAAAAATACCTGAGCTGCCTGTAAGAACCAGCAAGAGAAAGAAATTACGGCTTCTAGTACTACTACTTATTCTTAATTTTTTTAATATTGTGCCTATTATTAGTTATAAGACCATTAACAAGAATTATCTTTTTTTTTTTAGTTGTCAGTAGGGATGCTTAATTATGTAGCAAACTGTTGTTGGTTTTTGTAAACGAAGTATTTCCGTTCATTTGAAAAGAGTGTTAACATTCCTTATATCAACATGGTGCCTGGTTTGTTAATGGGATGTGCTCTTGATGATTGAATTGTACAGGAGGCATCTGGCTGCATCATTTTTCACCACATCATTTTCAAGTAGTATTGAGTGATGTTTGGTGGTAGGCCCTTGAGATTATACCGGCAAGAATATTGACTTTTTAGAAAGACTTTGAGAATTCTTGCCAAGTGGAGTCGGTGGAATTTAGCAGTGATGTTATACAGGCGTACCAAGCATGACCAAACCACATTGATAACTGTCTTCTTACCTCAACAGTGGTAGATTCTGTTTGCATTTCCTGATGAATGTGATGCAAAGTTGAAAACGCTTTACAAATCTGAATGTTAGAAGGAGTTACATTAACCTCCCATAAACAGTTTCAGGATTTTTGATTTTCAGATATTATACTGCTTGCAAATCACTTGTTTTATTGTTGTTGTTGTTGTTGTTATGGAAATTGTGTTGGGACATCTTGATGGCCAGGATCTGTTGAAGATTAACAGATGGAAAAGAAACTCAAACAATTATATCACCTTGCTCCCCACATTAAGGCAATATCCTGTTCTGTATTTAAGCATGTACCGAATTCCAGCTCTGGAAGCTGATACGGAGATCTGATGAGGTGTTGGTTATGAGCCTCATTGTGTCCAATCAGCATCTCATCAGACAGCCATGACAGCTTCTGTTGTCCAAACTCTGTTCTCATGTTAATATTGGATTGTAGACTGGATTATATGATGTATTTAGTATATTAACATCTCACCTCAGCATTTCATCAGATCTCAGTCATACCTGGAAAGGATCTATTTAGATCTGAAGGGGGGGAGATATATCAGTATATTGTGCAAAAAAATTGTTCCATTTCTTTGTTACAAATATTTTTCAGCATTTAGTCTGTAAGAGAAAATGTCACAGTTGTGGCTAAGACATCTCCTTTTTGCTTTTTTTTTTCCAGTTAACAGATGCAAGACAGAGTTGGTGGGTGAAATATACGCCTCCTACAAACCGGTACCGTTCCTTGTACGTAGAACCATCAAAGTTTGTATTGTTCTACGGAGTCTTTCATGGTGTGAACGTGTTGAAGCCATAGGTCAAATACCTGAACAATGATTGTCATTCATCTTGCTTATCTTTAAACATTCTGTACCCAGCAAAGATGTTTCCACAATAGTTCACACAAAACTAAAAATATAACAGGTTGAATGTAGAAATGTTCTAGTGGAAGAAATTCAGGCAATGGCATTGTTCTGTGAATTGTTGTACAGAGAGGAAACATGCCAGTTTCAGAATGAAACCTTGCATAACACCTTGTGCGACCTCTGCATTTCATTTGTCTTATCTCATGCAAGAATCTTGCATTAAGTCAGGGAGAAATCCACCTGTCTGTCCACCCATGAAAAAGTTCCTCTGGCTCCAACACAAGATCATTAAAGAGCCCAATATCTGGCTGTGCACAAACATCACGTGCCACTGTTACATGGAGTCAAGTGGTGAGGACTGTCATATTTATGGTTTTTTTTTCTGTCTCCCAGGTTGTTCAGGGTAAGTATGCAGAAACCTTTGAGATAATGTGAAAATAAGTTGCCCATACAACCTGAAACCAGAGATAACACCATCCAGCATTAACCCTGTTCAGGAAGTATCTGTTCACTATCTGTCCGACCATAATTCAAAGTCATAGCCTCAAATAGCTTGGCCCCGGGGATCTAAAGGATCACTTCCTCCCCAGTGGACCTGCCTTGTGTTTGAGGTTGGCTACTGTAAACACTTCTGCATCCAAATTCAATTAGCTAGTGGCTGTAGAAAGCTCTGTTGTGCATTCTTAGTGGCAGGTTTACTATCATAGCACTATTTTGCTGAACTTTTTTTGTCTTTGTTTTGATAGATTATTCTGCTTTATTTTGCAGAGCACAAAATTTCTTTAAATAGATTACTGCAGTTCAGTGATTTATTACATGGAGCAGCCTCTGTGTCATATGAGGCTACTGTTTGCATCAGGAAGGAAGCCTCCATTTCGTATGTTTTCTTTTTGAACCCTTGCTGCAGGAAAAGCTGGAGTAGCAGTTGCAACTTTTCTAGCGCTAGTGAGCCCAATGAAAAAAAGAACTATTGTTCTTCCTCTGTGTTTTATTTCCATTACATCCAAGGCCACTGTTTCTGCAGTTACTCCTGTGTACATAAAAACAAAAGCAAACATGTGGATCCATGCAAACGAAACAACATGCAAAGCTCATAAGCAGGCAGTAGTTTTATAAGGACTAGCTGAAATTCTACATGCTTTCCAATTCTCCAGAAATCTTAACCTAACCAGCTTGTTCCAAAACAGAACAAAAGAAAATATGACGCAGGGAGAAATTAGAAATAAAAGAGATGGCCAGATGTTGTAGCCATGAGGTCTGCAATTAAACTCCCCAAGGCTGAGATTGCAGAGTCACTGACAGGTATGCCAGGTAGTCTCTGGAAACACAAAACTGGTTCCAACACAGAGGTCTGCCTCTTGCGTTAGGTAAAAATGTGACAGGTGCCTGAGATAGCTCAGAGCAGAATATGGTGAATTATCATTTTGGTTTGGGGAGACTTGAGTAATCTTACTTACTTCTCCCCAGTCTGGATTAAAAAAAACCCAAAGCTTTAAAAACATAAAGAAAAATCATGGGCTAGATCTAATTTTAGTTCAACCTAGAGTAGACCTCTTGCAATGAGCGGGTTTGCTCCAGTTGTGTTTAGCATTGCATCTAGTTTCATATGTATCCATAGAAGTAAACAGAAATTATGTGCCCTTGAATACCTAAGCTGGGCTGAATCCTGATGGCTTTTGGTGGAGACAAATGTTCTCCTGAGAATAGATCCACCTGATCGCTAACCTTTCCCTATTGGACAGGCACTTATCTGTTGCCAGTAATGTGGTTCCGTGTTCAGGATGTTACTAGATATTTCTTTGTCCAGGTTCCATAATTATCTTCCCCCTCACAGGGTGGCTTATTGTGGGAGCAGAATGACCAAAGATGAGCCTTCTTTGTGTTGTTACGTATGCCACCTTGAGTACCCTTGAGGGTAGAAAATTGGGGTATAAATATAAAATCAAGTGGAACCTGTGGATGCAGATTAATCATGCTTAGGGGAAGCCCACTGGAATTAGCAGGACTTAAATTACATGGTTAAAAAAAACAATAGTGTGGCAAATTAAAGATGAACAAGTATTTTCCTGTGTGAAGTTTTGTGGGTTACAACCTATTTCAGACATGTGGCTCATGATAGGCCATGAGTTTTTAATGACACAGAGTACGTGGTAGGAGGATAGAAACCAAACCTATTTCAGTCTCCCCCCCGGAGACTGAAATAGTTGGTAATGACATTTCCTGGCATTATTACCATCATTACTGAACATACAGTTTTTAACTGTAGATCGAGCTGGTTTGACAAAAATTAAGTTGCATGCATGTATTTTTTTTAATTATTTCTTCATTTTGCCTAGTTTTTCAGTATTTTCATATTATCATGAACGACACTTCAGAGACTGTTGGCATATTTCCTACCAAAGCTGGTATAGAGGTAAGGTAAAACTTTATTTTACTAATGCAAAAATTAATGCTTCCCTTTGGTTGTTGTAGGTTTTTCGGGCTCTTTGGCCGTGTTCTGAAAGTTGTTCTTCCTAACATTTCGCCAGTCTCTGTGGCCGGCATCTTTAGAGGACAGAACTCTGCTTCCCTTTGTTTATAACTCTTACGAGTTTTCTGTCTGAAAGCAGTTTCTTTGTTTCCTTTCAGACTTTTCAATTTAAAAAACTACATTCCATTCCCTGCTATATTTTTAATTTTAAGAAGATAAGCCACTTTAGATGTTACATGTTAAAAGGCTGATCAAGAAATCACCTGCAGTTGAATCCATGGTAGTGGCTTCAGCTGCACGTAGTTTCTTAACCAGCCATTTAAGGTTAGGCAAATAATTTTTTTTTTCAGAATGATGCAGCACATCAGCAATAGTCTATATGCAGTAAAAAATATCACTTTCCCTGCCCTCTACCAAGCAGAGGGATTGATTAATTTGTCAGTATCCTGAGATGGCTTGCTTATTAAGCCTCTTCACAGTGTTGGCAGGAGTCATTTATGTGTGAATGGTCAGACTTGATTAGATTGTTTTAATCAAGCCAGCCCACTCCCAAGTGGCCCACACAACAGTAGCTCACTTCCTAATGCTAGTATAGCTGTACAGTATCTTATGTTTTATTACTGGAAAAATAATTGCCAGCTGTAGCATTCTACCAGCACATTGGGAGACTTTCTGCAGTAAAATGCCGTGCCCAACAGAGCAAATGTCTTCATTTTTTGACTCTATACTTCTCCAACAAGCTAGATGGCATTGTTACAATGTAATGGCTTAAACCTAATTGGTGGTCCAAACTAGTATATATTCATTGACTTAATTGATGGATGATGAATCAGCCCATGCATAAATCTCACTAATGCACTGTGCCTGCTCTAGCTGAGTCTACCAGCTGGATCCAGGTCACTGCCTTGACTGTATAGGAACAAATTTAATATGCCTTATCACAAATCAAACTGGTCTGTCTAGCTCAATATTCTGGACTGTAACTGCGGCAACTCCCTAAGGGTTTTAGTGTTTGCCACTCCAGCTTGTGCATCTGGGAATATGGTGTGCTGAACTCAGAGGTTGAAAAGGATATACTTCTTGGGTTATAGCTTCCAAACTTCAATTGAACCTGGCAGTTCAGTGGGTGTTGCGTGGAGGTTTGTTACATGTTAAGCACAAGATAAATGTGAAGTTAAATGATAATATAAATAATGCTTTTATTTTTGTACCCTTGGTTCCTACAGACAGCACAATAAACTGCAATACGAAACTTCCCTTCATTTGTGAGAAATACAATGCATCACTGTTGGAGACACATGATCCAGGTTATAAGCCACCTCAGAGAAAATGTCCTGAAAATTGGGTTCTTTTTCTAGATAAGGTAATGAAAGAGATGAATGGGGCCAAATTCCAACCTTCCCGTTTCAGACCATAATGGTTTATTGCATTGGTTCCCAACCTTGGATTCCAATATGTTCTTATACTAAAACTCCCAGAAACCTTCAGCACTGGCTGTGCTGGCCAGGATTTCTGGGAGATTTAGTCCAAGGACACCTGGGTTACCCAAGGCTGGGAACCACTTAATCTATTGGAAAGTAGTTTATAAGAGACTCCAAAACAGTTTGATTCGTTTAATTGTGTTGAATTGCAAGAAACAAACCCTTGTGAATTATTTTTCTTTGATTTTCTGTTCTTATGTAAACTATACAGTACTGCTAAGTATCAAAGCTTATATGAAATGCATTTACCTTTGCCTCTGTGCTTCTTTTTTTAAATACAAATAAATAAAGATTTCCTCTTTCAGTGTTTTCTAACAGTGCCCCCTCGGGAACTAAATTTTAAAGAAGCAAAGGACTATTGTAATTCATATGGCGGCTTGCTTCCTTCTATCAAAAGCCAAGTTGAACAAGGTAATAAATGCTCTGCTTTTTGCAAAGTGTGATCATGTTCTAGAACTTTAAGTATCTACTGATACTTCAGTGCTTCTAGAGATCAAAGGATTGGTGAGAAATTTGATGGGTTTGTATTTGAATGCATGATTACCCAGTTTATACATTCAAGAACTAAATGTAATCTCAAATGTAATTTATTATTCTAAATCCATACATTTCCAGGCTCACAATGTGAATGCCACTGGAGGAGGAAGAGAAATTAGTATGAACCAAAGTAATACACATATTTGCAAAATGAAAACATGGTTTGAACAATTGTGCACATTTGAAAAATGTATATATTGTACACAAACTTTTTTTCTAGATTAGTGGAGGAATGTACAGTATGCAAAAATACATCTAAGTCACAAAAGTCTGTGAGGTCAGTGTTTTCTGTTTTTAGAAGGGGCTGAGAATTACCACAAACTGTATTTGCATTTTTCATTTCATTGCCATGTGTCCTGTTCACATGGTTTCTGTCTTTTGCGAAGCCCATATGGATGATAGTTTATTGAACTATGTAAATATATATTTATTAACCTTCAAGGTCCTAACAAGGCACTTAACTATGTTTGCTGCAAGACAGTGATCTGTGTTGTGATTCCTTAACCTGGTTCAGATTTAAGATAAGCTGTAGCACTAGTCAAGCACTGTATATTAGACTGAACTTACCAAGCATAGAGGAACACTCTAGTCCTACGTGACATCAGTTCCATCACTCTCCTACATTTAGAAGGCAACAAGTCTGAAAAGAGAGTGCCCCATTATCCAGCTGGGGCACATGAAGTCAGGCCCTAACTTTCAAGTATTCTAACTCATAAAGACAGTCCTTGCAGGTAGCAGAAGCTATCTATCTTCAGAAATACTCCTTTGCTTATATACAAGGACACCTATACAAGGTACTAAGGTAGTGGGACTGAAGTGCTCCCCTCTACATCTGAGTGTATCCTAATATATAATACTCAAGAAAGTGTTTTGTAAAGGATTCCAAATCAATTTGATTAGTTCTCTGTGAATTAATTATTTTATACTTGTGGTTTAGATGGTCCCCAGTCCCTTCTCCTGCTTTGGTGCATGATAGTGGAAACTAACCAGATCTTATTATTACCTCTGAAGCAGAAACTGTTTCGAGAAACTTGTCAATGATATCACATCAGTGACAATCATATCAAAATTCATCTGAGTATCAAAGTAGAACTCTTTTCATTAATTCCAGGCAACATCAGCTTGTCTATTTCTACCAGCTTCATTTATCTCTATTGCTTCTGTGTTCTGTGTGCACAAAAATACTTCAGAGTTTGAAAACGTATTCTCGAAGGCTTTGAAAACATTCTTACAGTTATGATAAAAAATGTAGGCACAAATACTTAAACAGAAATATATCCAAAATTCAGGAGCATCTCTTTTAGAAGTTAAGAAAGAACAAGAATGTTCCAATTACATTCCCAAAATGCAAAAGCTTATAGCCTAATAAGGCACAGTGAAAAAGCAAGACAGAATACAATGCTTAAAATACCAAAGTTATTAAGAATAAAAATATATTCAAGAAAATGACTTTCCTAGCTTCTAATCATATTAGGAATACATAGGAAAATTGCGCTAAGTACTCAGCCAGCCAGCCAGCCAGCCTTGTGCCAGTTCACATCTATGGATGGAAATCCATGATGATTACTGTAATGTCTGGTCCCCCAAATGGTGTGGAGTTGTGATCATGTGCTAAATGAATTCCTGAATCCCTGCGTTTCTTATCTCACTATATTCATAATTCATTCAGTTGTTTACCTTTCCTTCTAAGTATAAACAATATTTTGCACAGGGCCCAGAGATGCAAAAGCTTAGATATCTGAGACATTTTTTCCATTGGGAGATTGTATTATTTGTGTGCTTTAATGTAGTTTTAATGGTTTGTGACTCAGTATCTGGCAAGTTGCGACTACATCATAAAAAGTTTGCAAGGCCTGAAGGAACAAAGGCTGGTAGCATAAAAGATTTAAACCCCCTGGAAAACCAGAATATTATAATTTTAGAGTGAAAATTATAAAACCTGCATCCTTTGTTTATGTTTATCATTCTCAAAACACACATTCAGCTGGCAGGATTGTTATGATACAGTGAACTTGCTTGGCTGACTCATTGTTTTAAAATGACTATAGTAAACTATTGTTCAAACCTCATTTTTAAAAGCATTTTTATTTTCAGGATTACTTTTTACATAACCCCCCTTAATTATTTAAACACTATATGCATACACAATTCCTGTGCAGATAAGGCTGCAGGTGTGCTATATTCCTAAGCTAGAAAAAAGCAGACCTGGTCATAACCAAGAGCCAGCAGCACACCTAAGTTGTGAGCCTGGTTTTTCAGGTGGAATGTAACCCCATCCAGACCAGGTAAGGATGTGCTCCATAGTCTGTATAGTTTGCATAGCTAAAGATGTAAAGGAGAGATAGAGCTGCATGTCATCAGCATACAGATGACAGTGGACTCCAAACCCTTGGTGACATTTTCGAGAGGCCTCATACAGACATTGAACAGCATTGGAGAGATCCTTTGGCTGCCTAATCCTAAGGTGAAAATATTTATCTTCCACCCAACAGATTTTATAACATCTTTGCTTCCGGGTTTGCCCAAAAATATTTGGATTGGTTTGTGCTTTCGGGTCCACTTGCGTGAAAACAAGTGGGTAGATGGCAGTGATTTGGAATATAGCAACTTCCACCCCTTGCTTCAAGGAAAGCTAAGGAAGGTTCAGCTTGATGTAAGTTTTTGAAACTGTTTTTCCATTGGCTTTTTTGTGTATAGTGGTGCCTCGCTAGACAGTTACCCGGCATGACAGTTTTTTCGCTAGACATTGACTTTTTGTGATCGCTATAGCGTTTTGCAAAACAGTGATTCCTATGGGGGAATTTCGTTGGACAACGTTTGGTCCCTGCTTCGCAAACCGATTTTCACTAGACGACGATTTTGCCAGCTTCCTCCGTGCTCACAAAACGGGTGTTTTCGGGACCTAAGCTTCGCAAGACAGCAATTTAAACAGCTGATCGGCAGTTCCTATGGCCGATCTTCACTAGACAACGACGATTCTTCCCCATTGGAATGCATTAAGCAGGTTTCAGTGCATTCCAATGGGGAAATGCTTTTCGCTACACAATGATTTCGCTAAACAGCGATTTCAGTGGAATGGATTATCATCATCTAGCGAGGCACCACTGTAATTCAGTTGCAGGAGAAAAGACTGTACTTCTTATCAACTTAGATCAAAGAAGGAAAACAAAATGTAAAAGAAGTAAAATCTGTTCATTTCTAAACGATCAGTTTGTAGCAGGTTCCAACAGTGATTCCACAACCCCAGATGTTCTTGAACTGCAACTCCCAGAAATCCTGGCCAACACAGCTAGTGGTGAAAAGGCTTCTGGGAGTTGTAGTCCAAGCACATCTGGGGACCCAGGGTTGAGAATCACTCTGAGAAACAAATGCATCAAACTGGGTGGTATTTCCTTGATTCAAATTTTGTTCATAGTATAGTTGTGGCTGCAATATAAGAAATATGATAAATGTCATTTTTTTGAAAAAATGTGTAATAAGAGATAAACCTCTATATAGGGACAAATTCTTTACCTGGTTCAGAAAGAAAATAACTGTAATTTCTTTAGTTCTGTTTTGCACCACAACGGTCAGAAGGTAGTGCCTCAGGCTTGTGCCTTCCCCTCTTCTCCTTTACCACAAGGCGATGAGAAGCTTTTCTCTTTTCTTTAACTGCACTTTAGCTTTATAGCTAAATTCTATAAACTGTAATTAGTCTAAACTGTGACATAAGGAAACAAGCCAACTTCATAAATCATAGTTTAAATGGTAAGACAAGACCATTCCCAGTTTGCTGTGGACCCATAACTGGGAACAGGATAGGAAGGGGACCAGCATCATCTTGGAAGCACTCTAGGAGCCTCTGTAATTCCCAGCAGATGCTGGCTTCCAGTGTTGCTGGCTGGCCAGTCAAAAGGGGGATTGGCTGGGAGGTTGGAAGCAAGGCAGACCAGAGGCTAGCAGCTTTCACCCTGATCTGCTTAGGGAAAGTATCACTGCTCCCCCACTGCTTCTCAGCATCAGTCGTTGTACAAGCTTCACATATTCACTCGTTCTTCTCATTCCAAGGATTTCTGTTTTTGGCAAGGGGGTTGCCTCACACTCTGTACTTCCTAACCTGTCGCAACATGAATTGGTCCTATAGCACTGGAAGGCATTGAGCTTGATCCAGATGGTGGGGAATAGGTTCTGTGTGTCTAGGTACTTCTTCTTGGGGCTGATTTTAAAGAATCCGGAATGATGACCTCCGAAAGGTTGCCCAGCTTAGGGTCAGTCAGATAGGCTTAGCAACTGGTCCCAAAGTGTCCACTGAATGACATAGTGCTTAGGTGGGTGCCTCTCTGTCTGTATCCCAGCATGCAGGCTGGAGCAGTTCATTGGTCAGAAAGTATTCGATACTGCGCCAAACTATGTACCTCTAACCAATAAAGTTGTAATCATAGCTTTATTAGTACCTCTAACCAATAAAGTTGTAATCATAGCTTTATTTGTACCATCAAAAACTATGTTATATACTGGCTTCCTACCCAGGCCAGAGGATTAGATTACTGCCTGGATCCATACCATAATTAAGGCAGGTCCATTTCTTTGCTTAAAAATTAAAATTGTAAGATTTTCTGCATCCGTGCTGTGGGTCATTCACATGATGGTTTGATTAGTATTATATTATTTATTATTATATTAGTATTATATTATATTAGTATCAACTAAAAACATGGCTTTATGTCCAGGCCTTCCCTCCTGCCAGCATTTAATTTAATTTAAATTAAATTAATTCTCTCTCTTTCTTATCTATCTATCATTTATTATTTCTAGTATGTTTTGTCAATAATCGATGCTCATGGATTTATATTATTTTAATTGTATATATACTGTTGTTAGCCACTCAGAGTGGTATAAATATACCAGATGGGTGGGATATAAATCAAATAAATGAATGAATGAATGAATGAATAAATCAATCAATCAATCAATCAATCAATCAATCAATCAATCAATCAATCAATCAATCAATCAATCAATCAATCAATCTGAATTCAGCCAGTCTCTTACTGTATTTGGATAAGTCTTCAACTGCAATTTTGTGACATATCAGCAGCCACAACAGTGCTTTGGTATCTTCTCTGGAATATGCTGGGGTTCTAGTAAGCATTTATCTCCACATCTTCTCTCTCTCTTTTTTCGCCCCTACCAGCTATTTGATGAGGAGGTAAACAACCAGTGTGGTATTTTACTCAACAATCCCAAGTCAACATATGTTGGTACTTGGAATTTCACTTCCTGTGCTGATACACAGTCCGTAGCCCTGTGCCAAAGCAAGTCTGAACCAGGTAAGACTGTTCATCTCTAACAACTCTCTGCATGCCTGTGAGCTTGACAAGGCCTCTTGTACTGAACCTGGGAAAGATTTGACTTCTCTCTGTGTGCATCTTCTCTTCTTGGAGCCGCTTTACATCAGGGGTCCAGAACATGTGTTCCTTCAGATGTTGCTGGATTGCACCTTCCACTGTTGTCAATGATGTTGGGTAATGGGAGCTGTAGCATAGGAATCTCTGGAGTGCCATGCATCCCTGCTTTATGTGGCAACTCCTGATGGGCAAGGGTCCATCTCTGAATACAGACCCCTGGCACATGGCCACTGTGTACTTACTGGACAGGTGGGATGGGCATGATCACTTTCTCTTCCCGGCATGCAGGTTTTACTCTTACACCCTTCGATCCTGATGTGAATAAGTTACCTTTGTGGTCATCTGCCTATAATGTTTTCATTAAAATAACTGCCCATTGTCTTTGTTTTTGACAAGTGGAATTAATCATGAGTAGAGATGGGGGTATTTGTATTCATACGATACAAATATCCCCGTGCAGACTTAATGAGGCTCCGGCCCCTGGGGCTGAACCGTCCACTCCGGCAGTGGTGCTGTCCCTGCTCATCCTTCCAATTGTGCCCGGAGCGCCGCTCTGTTCCCATTCGACTGGCCACTCAGCAGCCATGCAGGGAGACTCGTCCTCCCTCCCCCCGCCTGGAGTGGCCAGCTGAGCAGGAAGAGAGAATGGCACTCTGGGCACTGCCGGATGATGCGTACTCACGGTCCAGCCCCAGGGGCCGGACTCTCATTAAATCCAGCTGCGTGGGGATCCCTCCATCTCTAATCATGAGTTAAATTATCTCGGTTTTGATGTGCTAAAAACCTTCTGCATATACTGGGTGTGGTGTTACTGCAACATATCATGTCCTCAGAACAAAAGCAAGACAAAATTAAACATTCTAGAATGGTTTGAGCCAGAATTTTCGAAGTGACTGTTGTGGGCCCCCGGTGATGTCTCTGTACCACTTGATGTTGGTGCTTCTGGAGTGGAAGGATCAGCCAACAGGTCGTGTCATTGCTCAGGAGATGCCCAAATGTGTTCCCATTCTTCAGGAAGGCTGCTTCCATGTCTCTCTCTTATAGGGCTGTAATCCAGTTAAAGAAACATTAGTCCATTCAGTATATTGATTGTACTTGCTTTTGCTTTTGTTGTATAGTATTTATAATATGGTTTATAATAGTATTTATAATATGCTGTAAATAAATCAAACGATTGTTTAATCTGAAAAAAAGCATTTGGGAAAAAAAATCTATATTAAAAAGCATTCTTGCTTTTTTTTCTTAGACATGCCTGTGTCGTAAGAAATACCATCCTAGATAGGGCATTGCACTTTCTCTCTCACAGAGGGATGCTTCTCGAAATAATTTTTGCTGTCTCCATATTTTACAAATATATGTACTAAGAACTAATTTTTAAGAATAAATCTGATTAATCAGGGGCCTTGTTTTAGTCAGTCATAATGTTTTAAATAATGTTTGAGAATTTTTTTTGTAAATTGATTTAAGTGACTGATTGATTCAAAAAGATTGCAGTCCTAATCTTACCATATTGACGAAAATACAATGTACAGCATTATAAAATGTCTTTAAAGCATAAAACCTGCCCAGATAGCTAGAGGAGATATTGCTGCTGTTAAAAAAGAAAAATTGTTTGATGAATGATAGCATTTGTCTTGCTCAACTATTTGGCTTTTTCAATAGATGCTTTAGAAAACCAGACACAGCAAGTGCTTAACATCAGTGTGAGCTATCTCGATGTCACATACACCATAATTTTGAAGAACCTGACATGGATTGATGCCCAGCAGGAGTGTTTGCAGAATAATATGCAGCTGGTTAGCATCACAAATGAATACCAGCAAGCTTTTCTTGCTACTCAAGCTGCCCGTCATAATTACCCACTGTGGATTGGACTCTCCAGCAAAGATGTAAGGTTCATTTCTCTCCCTTTCAAAACATGTCATTGAAATACTAAATGGGGGTGTTTGAGGAAATTTACTGAGACATTTTAAATGATATGGGTAAAAAGCAGCCTGCTGCTGGGGTAGTTCTGCTGGTTCTGTTTTCCGGGATGTCATCCTAGGAGTTTCTTCCTGACAAGCATGATGTTTCAAGTAAATAGCAGGATGATGATGATGATGATGATGATGATGATGATGATGATGATCATGATGATGATGATGATTAATTTAGTGGGCACAACTAGCTGGTTAGACTATCAAGTCCATTTAACCCAACTTAAATTATGATGGGTTAAAAATATGTTTGAATAAGAAGCCACCATGTCTGTCCTGGAAAAGTAACTTTGAAAACTGATGAATACGAATAGACATACAAGCAAAAGTTGTATTAATATCAGCGGTAATATCAGCTTTCTTCCTACAACATATATCAGCTGAGGGACACCAACATATGAGGGATAAATAATGTATCACTACAGCATGATAGGGTCTTGATTCCCCATCCCCTGAATTTGCAAGAACATTTTAAAAAGCCACCATAGATACATGAAATGTTTTCTGGATTTGAATCTAGATTTCTTGGAACAAAAGCAAGCATGGCCTACTGAGTCACATGGACTCTGAAGTAGATAACCAGAGTCTTTTGATGACCCACAGTTTCATATATTCGGTAACCCCCTTAAGTGACCATGTGAAGGGGAGGAAACTGTCCTGCACATGAGCCCAACCACCACCCTATGCAGTCCCAGGAGCTGTAGTCTGTCTTGTATTCAGCATGAAGGTTTAAACAGGGGTTCTAAGCATGACGAGCTGAACATGCCCAGAGAAGCCACCTTTCGGTCTTCAGGCAATGATCTGAAGCTCCTCCCATTGGAGCACTGGTAGAAGCACTTGCATAGGCTTTCCTACTGTTCACTGTACACATTCATTTTGAACACATGAAAAGGCTTATGCCAAAGTACAAGGTGATGACTGTTTCCAAATATTTGGCTCCATACAGCTGTAGCAGTCCTTTCATGAAATCCATAGTTGCTTTGGGAGAAAAGTAGGATTTAAATCATTTAAATAAACGAACAAACAAATACAGTAGTCAGGTTGAGAGTTGGCTGGTTTTTGTTTTGTTTTTCTTGTTAGTTTTACAGTGCTAATTTTTCTTCTGCCTGTTTACACCTCTAGGATGGAGTACATTACCACTGGTCTGATAGAAAACATATTCGTTTTAGTCGCTGGTTTGAAGAAGATGAAGATTTAGTTGATGACTGTGTGTATTTGGATAGCGATGGATTTTGGAAAACAGCTGAATGTTACTCAGAGAAACCAGGAATGGTTTGCTACTTAGCAGGAAGTATGAAGCCCCATTTACAACTTTAAATTAATATATATTTTTGCTCCGGAAATGCTTTTGTTGAATTGTTTTAAATATTTGAACAAAACCATTCTATAAAACTTGAAAAACGTTTATGGCTTCTGTTTGAATTTAAAAAGTGAGCCAAAACCTACAGGGCACCATTCATAGCCTGTGCAAGCATGTAGCTCTGGCTTCCTGCAAGCTGTTGGTTCACAAGGTGGGAGTAAGTACCAAGCATATGTTTTGTGTGTGTGTGTTTGTTTTTTTCTTCTTTCCTTACAGGAACTCTGCCCACTCACTTGTATGATTTTCAGCATCAGTCATGTTTCTGTCATAAGCTGGAACATGAAAACAGTACTGAAAGAACTCGGCATGCTTAGCCTTGAGAAAAGAAGACTGAGGGGAAATATGATAGCATTTTTCAAATACTTTAAAGACTGTCATAGGGAGGAGGGTCAGGATCTGTTTGCAACAATGAGCTCAAGTTACAATTTCAGTTGAATATCAGGAAACACTTCTTAACTGTTAGAGCAGTACACAGTTGGAACCAGTTACCTCAAGAGGTGCTGAGTGCTTCAACACTGGAGGCATTCAAGAGAAATGTAGACAACAACCTGGCAGATATCCTTTGAATTGTATTCATCCACTGAGCAGGGACTTGATGGCCTTACAGGCCCCTTCCAACTTAATTATTCTATGATTCTGTGATTTGAAGTAGGCCTGCTTAGCACCGATATGAGTAAATCTGGCTATCATTAGCCATGGTTAGCATCAGTGAATGAGTAATACAAAACAGTAGTTGAACAGGTAACAGGAAATAAGGCATGGAGGATTTGCTCCAAAAATCCAGGAAGGAAGGGTGTGTCCCAGCACTCACATCCAGATTTGAAAACAATAGTTTGCAGGGAACTGGCATTTATTTGGATACACTCCTTTTCTTTCGGGGACATTGGAGTACTGAACTATTCATATGTATAACAACAATAAAACTCAAGCACAAAACAATAAAAGGCAGTTAAAGTAAATTTAAAAAAACTAAACTTCAGCACCAAATCAGGATTGTTATACCATTTACAATAGCATTCTTCAAGTTAAGGTGGGTGGGAGGTATGAGTGTGAATAGAAAAGATGACAAATAAGTTAGTACATTTTATTGGTGAACAGTGAAGACTGAATACTTTCCAAAACTTGAAATGTTAGTTTCCCCAGTATCATCAAAATGGAGGCCCTGCATAGACAAGTGCAGTGCAGTCATTAGACTGGAGTGACAGAGGTGGGAAGAGAATTTTGTGAAAAATCCATTAAATGTCTACACAAGATTAAGAATACACTGTAAACAGGATTTTGAAACAAACTGACATGGCACAATCTGGGTGTTTTGGAAAGAAGCCAGCAATGAAATTTCTAGGTGTTGAAGTGGGAGTGGGAAGATCACTTAAAAGGTACTGCAGTTCTGTATGTTTTGAGAGCCACACCTAGATTTTGCAGTGTGCACAAACACAGGTAGCTTGTGCTTGCTTGTCCCATGCTTTTCTCTTTGTATTATTGCAAACAAAATTTAGATATCTGTCAGCACCCACTCCCCTGAATGAGTACATGTAATCTGTTTGCAGCTGAAGCTGTCATATTTCGCTGTAATGGAAGACATATGGGTTTAATATATATGCTTGAACAAAAAAGTGAGGGGCATAAAGTATGTGGAGGTTTTGTCCCCTGTCCACCACCTTCAACTATAATATCCAAATATGCTCTGAGAAACAGCTCCTTCAACCTAGTAAACATTAGTGGTACTGAGTAGTGCAAGCAGACAAATATTGGCATAAAAATTTTGTAATGTATTGCGCTTTACATTCCAGTTTCCCCTGATCATGAAAAATCTGCTAGTAATGAACAAAATGCTAGTGACAGAGCTGAATTCATGGCAGAAGCTGCCAAGTTGTGTTGTTTAAATTGCATCGTAGGCCAATTAATAGTCTGGAATTTTTTTATTTTATTTTTTCAGATGAAACACGAGAAACAGAATCACATCATGAATCTATTAAATGCCCCCACAAAGTTAAGAACACACCATGGATAGCATTTCGCAACAGTTGTTATACATTCGTGATAACAAAAGACAGAGGGAAAGGGTTTACATCAGATGAAGCCCACCGTTTATGTAAGATGATGAGTAAGTAGTTCCTGTTAATAATCCTTTTGAAATGCTATGTTTTTACCATTTTGAATAATGTTTCTAGACTTGAAAGCAGTTCTCTCAGTTTCTCCACACGGCCCTCTATGAGGTGAGGTAAGGGAATGTACTGGGTCAACCAAGTCTTGCGAGATCCACGTTATAGCACCCATTAAGCTGTGAAATTAGCCTTGGGTCTGTCGTCTCCTCTCAGGGCGTGACTGCATTGACAAGTAATGCAGGAAAGGCTCAAGAATTGGGATGGTCCGATTCACACTATTTTCTGTTGACTACATGACATAAAAATCAGGGAAACTGCCTGCCATTTGAATCTTCTCCTCCCCACCACCCTTGGTGCCTGGGTCTGCTTTCTCCTCCCTCCCTTTCTTCCTTTAAAGACTTCCTGATACAGCACTGGGACAGCTGGCTGGCCAAAGGGGGAAAATGGGGAGGAAGTTTTAAGGTGTCTCTGCTCTGACTATGCCTCCTAGAAATCTGAATAGACAGAGCAGAACTGCCTTAAGAAGCTGGGGCAAGGTTGAAGTGAGAATGTCCTCCTGTTTCTCTGCCAATTCCTTGCTTCCCCACCCCACCTCCTTCTTTGGTCACTTAGCTGGTCTTGCATTAGGACAGCTAGCCTTTAAAAGGATGGGAAGGAACAGGAAGGGCAGAGAGTAACAAGTGGACTTATCAATTAGGTGTGGGGAGGAGAGGATTCAAAGGGTTAACAAGCTGCAAACCAGGCTGATCTCCTCCCTTCTTCCTGCTGACTCCTGTGTGGTTGGCAGAAGCTAATTAACCCAAGGAAATCTGATTTCCCAGGTATAATTTCACTGTGAATCCATTTGCATTTTCCCTGCTGCGTAGTCTTACCTTTAGTCTGACATAGCTCACAGGGTTGGTCTGAGGATAAACTAGGAATAAAAATGTCTTTAGCTTCCTGGAAATAGAATTGGATACAAGTGTAACTAACTATTCAAGTAAATAAATATACATTTAGTGCATGTAAAAGTAGTGTAAACTCAGTTATTTCCAAAATCATGCTCATATTTTTCTAGAACTATAAAGCTATCCTGTCATTCAGTAACTGCTGAAATCATGCTAGCATTAACTGTTGTCTTTCAATTATGTAAGCCGCCTTGGGTCCTTTTTAAAGAGAAAAACAAGGTAAAAATATTTTAAATGAAGAAATAAAGAAATAAACATTCTCATGTAATTATACAGTATATTTTTGTTTGGCAAAAATAAGCAGTGCCTATACGTGTGAACAGACCCGGAATTACCTGTTTAACTGTGGAAATAAAATTGTGGACAATATGTCACTGGAAAATGGTTTTAATATATATATTTCTCTCCTGCCCTGTTCACACTGTAAATTTGGAAAACTCACAATAAAAACTTCTATTTCTGCATATGTTTACAGTTTACTAAAATAAAATTGGGTGGATATGTTTCCTTGCTAAATTAACATTATGTGAACTAGCCTTTTTTTTTAAAGTGTTTTTCCAGGCCCTCTGTTAGAAGGGTGGCCAAGAAAAACCCTTACAGTGTGCAAACCTGTAGTAAAACACAATAGGTAAGAAAAGAGTGCAGCTTTATCTAACAGAATTGACTATAAATATGAATCATGCTGGATCAGACCAAGATTCCATCTAATCCAAAAACTTGTTTGCAGCATGGCCAAGCAAATACTGGACAAGTTGTACACTTATTGTCAAATCCCCTCCCAATTACCTTCTTCAACCAGCATTTAAAAAGTATACTTAATTTGACCTTGGAAGCTCCATTCATCTATGATGAATAATAGCTATTGATAGATTTCTCTTCTCTGAAGCTCTCTAATGCCCCTCTTTCTATAAGTTAATGGCCATTCCTACATATTGCTGCCGTGAATTCCATATGTTCATTGACTGAGGAAGATTGACTATTCTACTTATATCTGTATTTTTAAAATGTTAACTACTACAATGGATACCACTGAAAAATAAGCAGAAACATGCATTGGTTAGTGGAAAAATACATGTGCATTAAATCACACACGCACACCCTTGTAAGAAGAAGAAAGCAAAGTGTTGCAGCCTCTTTCTAGCAAAAATGGGACAGGAAGGCAGTTAGAGAAACACAGTAAAATAAAAATGGAGTTCCTGGTTGCATCCCTCCAGATGACTCCCCCTTCTACCTTAGTTGAACATCTCTTCTAAGAATATAAGGATACCCAGTATGGTGTAGTGGATAAACGAATGGACTAGGACTCAGGAGGCCTGTTTTCAAATCCCTACTCAGCTATAGAAACTCCCTGTGGGAGCAGAACTGGTAAAACTACTCTTTAGATATCTCACCTTGGAGGTCCTGTTAGGGTTGCTATAAGTCAGTTTCAACTTGACAGCACAGAATAACAAAAGAATATGAGGCCCATTCATCTTCAGTTATCATTCAGGAGCAATATTCTCTTCCTGCATACTGTTCTGTATCTCACTAGCCAGACTGGTAGCTTTAAAAAGGAAGATGTTTCTCCAGGTTCCCAGTTTGGCCAAAGCTTTCTTGTAGACCTAAAAGAGAGAGAGCTTCTTACCCCTTTCACCTAATAGGATAGTTTCAGATAGATTTTGTTATGTAAAAACAAAGGTCAGTGTTTAAACCATGGTAGACCCCTTGTGAAATTAATTTTCTCAACCCTCTTTATTTGCTAATCGGTCAGATTAATTCAGTGATTCAACTTCTTTAATTGCTTCAACAGATTCAAATGCATCTCTCTTGAATATCAGGGATGAACATGAAAATGATTTCATTGTTGAGCAACTTCATCCTTTCAGTGGCCTTGCTCAGTGGCTGTGGTTGGGTCTGATTTATAAGGCTGAAGGTAAGTTCTAACTTATTTAAACCTATAAAACCCTCTTCTAATGAACATAGATTTCTCAAATGTACAAAGAAGCCAAAACTGTAATAACATTACTTAAAGCCACCATCCATTAGTAGAGCCAGATGAGACTAGGTTCCACCCCACCACCTTTGGTCAAACTTGTACTCAATTTAGTTAAAATTGTCAAATGTAAGTTAAGGGGAAATTCTCCAGACTCACTTGCTTGAGATATTCTGCCTATATTCAAAGTTCTTTTAATTCCAACCATTCATGACAGCTTTGAACTATGGGCTACCATTGATCTGACATAGTAAATGCTTATTGTCCACATTTTAATAAGTGTTATATAATTACAATTACAGTACAGCAATTCCCAGTCCAGATGTTTCAGTAGATGAACACACTTGGAGCTGGTGGAGCGATTAATGTCTGTTGACCCTTAGTTCAGCAGAAGAGAAACACCACATTGCTTTCATGGAGATAAAACCCTCAGTTTCTAACAACATGGAAGAAATGGAAGTATGCAGCTTTTATGTTGAGAGGGTGCTTGTTTGTTTTCTATAGTTGTTTTACAGTATTCCAAAGGAGCTTTAAAAGGTTTTACTGAGAACACTGAATTAAATTTTAAATAGGGAAATGCCAAGCAAAGTCTGTTTCAAAAATAATGAGCTCTCTAATAAATAAGAAGTTGTAGGTTCATCCTTTGATTTCTAGACCACATGAGAAATGTTAGTATTGGCACAAATAATGTTCACATGGACTAAGTGTGGCCTATTTTTTTAGCACTGTCAACATTATGAACACAAATCAGAAGCATTTAAGTATGAAAACTTTGTGTATTTTTCCCCACAGGTAATACTCTGATGTGGTATGATGATACACAGCTCTCATATAACAACTGGAGACTGGGAAGGCCTTACTTAAAGAGTGATAATTTTGTTGCTGGTATTAACCTGGATGGTTTCTGGGATATTTACAATTACACTGACAACTGGAAAGCCTTGCAATTCAGTCTACACAGCATCCTTGTCTGTAAAATAGAAATGGGTAAGAACTGGGAATGTAAATCCTCACTTCCTGTGGCTTTCAACAGTTTTTTTCAGTATTGAGCATGATATTTTTGGGGGGTTGGATGCTCATTGTTGCGCTCAATTACCTGGGATGAGTGTACATATGTGTACAATCTATATATTGTTCAAAATACCTCAGGTTTGGATGACTGTTGCTTTACAGAAGAATTGAAAGGACTGGGTTCATTCATTCATTCAGTTTCTACTCTGCCTTTCTCCCTGTAGAGAGATGAAGGTGGCATAAAAATAAATTAAAAACAAAAAATATTTAAAAATTACAAATATTTAAAAATAATACTATAAAATTAAACATATTAATTTTAAGGAGTAAATAAATTGCCAATAAAACCATCTCGGTATGTATTTAGAAAAATATAAGGACAGTTCTCTCCTTAAAATCTCTTCTTGGGCAGCAAGTTATATATTTAAATATCTTTCTTGATGATCAGCTGGTCCTTCTGTGCTTGATGTGTGTGTGCTTTGTAGTAGTATTTCACACAAATTACAAGAGGGTGGCGAGCACTGTGCTTTATTATCAGCTGGAAATGAAGAAGGGCCTTAACATTCCTCACCAAAGTATGTCTTGTTGAGACCAATCAGAACTAAATCATGATGTGATTTAGTGTGTAAACTTTCAGTCCCTGCTAGCTACGTCTTAACTACAAACTGTTTCTAGTTTTGGATTGAACTCTGCTTTACATAGCCTTTGGTAGGCTCAAGAAAATGTAAACCATTTATTCACTGTTTTCATATTGAAATAGGGCCCAGAGAAGACAGTCCATCACTGCCTAGATCTCTGTCGTATAAAAACAACACCTACTGGATACTTAAAGAACAGGTCAATTGGTATGATGCCTGGAAAGAATGCAAACTAAAAGGAAGTGATTTAGCCAGCATTCATAGTGCATCAGATCAAGAATTCCTAGAAAAGATTGTGAAGAATGATGGATTTCCATTGTGGATTGGTTTGTCCAATCATAATGTAAGTTTCACATGGGCTTCCACTGACATTTTTCAATATATGCAACTGTCTCTGTATGTAGTTTGTTTAGATATCTCTAGCTTTCTTCTATTAACAATGAATTCATTTTGCCTAATTAAAGATGTTACCCCCATGTACATTTTTAGCTGTTGGTGGAGCTACTTGGTTGAATGTATCCCTGGATTAGAGATCAGTTGTAGTAGTATTTCCCTCCCCCCCCCCATGATGGCTACATTTCATTCTCCCTTCAGACAAGATGGTGTCAAAATGGCTGACAGCCTGATTTGGTCTACTAAGAAATGAGTAAAAGTGGTGAGACTTTTTTTGACGGCAAGAGTGCGTGGGATTGCAGAACGTGCATGTCTGTTTCTGCCTCTCATTTTATCTAATGTACGAAAAAGGGCTGAAGACTCACTTTTGGATTAAAGATTCAAAGGATAGAAAACATCTGGTAGGAGCAACCGGATTAGGGGCTTTGCTAGACAAATCTGTATGTGTTTGTAGTCTGGGGTTGAATACAGCCACCTAAATGTAAAAACAGAACCCACCAACACATGGTCAAGTTTCCTTTCACAGTCACAAGGGCTATAAGGTACACTGAAGCTAAGAAGGGGGAATAAAAGCAGTATCAGAGGATCTGAGTCCAAAAGTTGAAAGGAACCCACTCCAGAGGAGCTGCATGAAAAGAAACTTGAACCTTAACATAGTCCCATCTCAACCATGTTCTTTAGCCATGATGCCCACTTAACGTAGAATTTGGGAAAAGAAAAAGCATTAGTGCTTGTCCAGCCTGATTTACGCTTATTTTCTAGGAAAGTGATTCTGACTTGTGGTCTGATGGAAGTGCATTTGACTACAAACCCTTAAAATATGATCATTCACCTGCCCCCAGAAACTGTGTTGTCCTGAACACTAAAGGGTTATGGAATCACATGGAATGCACACGTCGTGCCGATGGTGCTATTTGTTATTCTTCGCCAACGAGTAAGTCTGTATTTGTGTACTCTTTTTTTTTTTACTTTTTTCTCCATTTATTGTACAACCCTCAGAACTATAAAAACAAAAATAAACATAAGGTATATAATACAAAATATTAAAAATAATAAATATAATATAGTAAATAAATGAATGAATGAATGAATATAATTTCTTTTCTCCCCAACCATGTTAAGCACGTGTCCTTAGAATGAGGTGGAAATCCTATGGACCACAGACTGCTTGCAGCCTCCTCAGGCTGTTTCTGTGAAAACTCTTTCCCAACAGGAAAGAAACTTTGGCTGAAAAACGAGAAAGGCTGCTCCTCCCAGCCACCAGCCTCATTTAAATCAAGGCAGAGCCCCCATGCTACTTTTTTTTTCTCCAAAACACCCCACCACCAAAACTGGTGCACCTTTATTGCAAAGTGCCCCAGTTCAACCCAGTATTTAGGCAACCAGTTTGTGCTCAGATGGCAAGATCCAATTGAACTACCCAGATAAATGTTTCAAGCAGATGGAGGCAAGTATGGCATGTAACTAAATTTACACTGGGGGTCTGGGACCAATGCATTTGTGATGGAAATACCGTATTTTTCCATCTATAAGATGTCCCGTGTATAAGATGCCCCCCTCCTTTCTAACCCCAAATTAAGAAACCTTAGCTTTGAGTATTCAGCCTCTAGGCTCAGAATGCTCGGATATTACAAGTCCCTGTTGAATCTGAGCACTGCCTACAGGCTCCACCTCCAACAAGGAGTGTACCAGTTGGTTTGTACAGCATCAGCTGACATCAGTTCCATAAGGCTCATGATTGGAGGCAGCCTGTTTGCAGAGACCAGGTATGTGCCGTTTTGTTCTCTCCTCGGCTTACTTTCCTGTATAAGACGACCCTAAATTTTTAGTCGAAAGATTTTAGACAAAAGCATTGTCTTATGCACAGAAAATATGGTACGTTTATTGGCTTTGCTCTAAAATATTAGCTATTTGAGTCCTTTCTAACTGATCCATTATTATAAACCAGACCTTTCTATACAAGCAGTGAACAGCTTACCTGAAACGTATAGCACAAAGAAACAGGGATTGATTAAACATTGCACTTCCAGAGCACCTCACGAATGGCAAATCATTTTCTCTCTATCACTGTCTTAGGATGATTTGGTTGCTTGTTTGGCTGCCAAGCTGAGTGTAATTTTTCCTTCCAGTTTGAAGATAATTTAAGATCACTGAGAGTTAAATAAAAAGCTTCTACTCCAGAATATTTTGCCTGAGCACAGCAAAGGCTCAGAGACCCACTGTGACCCTTGAACGCCCTCCTCACTGCCTCTCCCTGCCAAAGAGAGAATCACTGCTGTCAACTCTCACAGAACACTCTCTTTGTGTGTGTGTGTGTGTGTGTGTGTGTGTGTGAGAGAGAGAGAGAGAGAGAGAGAGAGAGAGAGAGAGAGAATGAGCAGCGACTGGCACCCGTTTCCTCCTCCCTTCTATCCGATAATTAGCACTGTTGCAGCTGATCTGTTTCCTGCTGCTGTCATGAAGCTGGAGCAGTGAATGTGCACCTACTGCTGTGAGGCGGGTGTTCTGTTTCATGCCATGGACATGTTATTTCCCTTGTATACACATTTCCTTCTTAAGATCTGGCCAAACATGGTTACATGATGAAGAAGAAAGGTTAAATAATTCTGTAAGAAAAAAATGTTTTTTTTAATTCAGCTAACAGGGCTTCCACACTTCTAATCGCTTGCTAGATTGTTTCCCAAAATCGAGTTTTCAATCCATTTAGGAATTATTTATTCACAATACTTTTGAGATCATCTGCTTGCATACATCAGTACTGTGGAATGCACTCCCTTCAAGCTGTGATCAATTCCTATTCATGCAACTTTTAGGACGAATATGAAGATGCTTCTCTTCAAACTGGCCTTTTAAACTCTTTTGATATGTATTATTAATTTTAATAAATAAATATCAATATTATCTAATGCACCTTTAGTAGTAATTTTAATAGTTTCATGTATCAGTTGGTTTTTAGTGATGTTGCCTTTTAGTAGAGAGGTACGATACAGAGATAATAAATAAATAAATAAATAAATAAATATATAAATAAAATGAACCTATTAATTAATTGAATAGGACAGCTTCTTGGCATGGAGTGGTGGAGGTAATGGTGATGATGATGTGATCATATTTTCACAGAAATGCAGTCAAAGCAAGCTGAAATGTCTGCAAAATGTCCCCAAATTACTGGCGGAACTTCACAGTGGATACAATATAAAGATCATTGCTATGCATTTGATATGGCATTTTACAATTTCTCAACATACACTGTGGATGCTGCTAAGGACGTCTGCAGGAAAATTGGTATGTCCAGATAGTCTTAATTATTATAAAGAGAATATTGTTTAGACTTTTCTGATTTTGGATTTTTTTCAGTATTATTTTACATGCTGTTTTAAATTATTTCTATAATATTTTTAATTTTTAATTATTTCTATACTATTTAATTCTATAATATTTAATTATTTCTACTATTTCTATAATATGTAATTATTTCTATAACATTGTTTCTATAAAATACTGTAAATGATTACCTTGGAAAGTTTTTCTCTTTTGAAAGTTAACTTTTTTCCATTAGATCCTTCTGCAATGCTTCTGACTATCAAGGATGCAGAGGAAAATACGTTTGTGACTGCACACTTAAGAGAATATTACTTCGTCACTGGACAAGTATGGCTTGGAATGCAGTCTGAAGGTAAGGAATGAACAGCCATGAATTATGTGTGTTGTGACCGCATTTTATCACCTAAGTTTTCATCTGGAGCCTGTTTCTCTTACCTTTGTTCTCCTGTACCAACCTTCCTTCCTAAGGCTTTCCATTCTGCTGGCCAACTGGCTTTCTGCTTGCATTGTAGCTTTCTGAATCCTGAATTCCATGTGTTGTATCTGGAACCCAATAGGGTTAAAATAACTTAGCCACTGATCTCCAAAATATCTTCTTGCCTGCTTCACTTCACTGTGATCCTGGAAGTAGTTCAGGCAAGTAACTGCAGAGGTATATTCCAAGATATCTGAAGTGGCATCCTGAACTGGTAAGATGAGCAGGCCACTGTGCCCCTTGGCAGTGCCCAGCAGCCCAAGTCTGTACAACTTAAGTGTACAGTTGAGAACCCAGCCTTCCAACTTGATTGTTGAGATGTGCAGATTCCCTTGACGGGATGCAACAGGTCTCTGGGGAAGCTGCCTGCTGTTGCTGTGCATCTGTTATGCACCAATAGCTGCTTGTCTTGATCTTTCAGTGTGCCAGCAGGAGTGCTGCAAACTGATTTGCAGCTTTTCTCCCTGCAAAGCAACATAGGGTGATATTTTGATGCCTTCTTGGAATAATTTGAATAGCAGTGACTTTCTTGGTGTCTGCAAGCACTAGGCATGGTTCCTTCCTTCTTGTCTGGCCTCAGACTGAAATTCTGCACACAGTCTATAAAGTTCTTATTTATAAGAAAGCTGCTCAAAACATTTTTCTTTCCTCTTGCTTTTTGAACATGACACAACACAGAATAAGCTGAAAAGACTCTACTAAGGCAGTTTTTAAAATACCAGAGGAGACTTCTGAATTTCCTGAAGTCATCAAGCTGACCTTCTGGGTCTGAAATACAGTGCTTCCTCACTTAGCAATGTTAATCCGTGTAGAAAAAAATCACTGCTAAGCGATAACATCGCTAAGCGAAAATAAAAAGCCCATAGAAACGCATTAAAGCGCGATTAATGCGTTCTTATCGGCTAAAAACTAACCTTTAAGCGAAGATCCTCCATGGGGCGGCCATTTTCGGTGCCTCTTAAACGAGGAAACAGAGCGGGCGGCCATTTTGTTTACCCGGTGGCCATTTTGAAACAGCTGATCAGCTGTGCGAAAATGGGGGCTTTGCGATGATCTCAAAGCGAAATTTCCCTATAGGGACCATCGCAAAGCAATTGCTTTTCCGATCACAAAAACATAGTCGCAAAGCAATTTCTTTGCTATGCGGAGTGATCGCTATGTGAGGCACCACTGTAAATCAATTGTTATTAATGCAGTCTATAATGAGTATAATACAATTTGGTCTTAAAATAAGGAACTAGTGCATATGGCTTTTATTCACAGCTCTGTCTTTGAAGTGGCTTGATGGCTCAGAGGTTAAATATGCCAACTGGGCAAAGGGAAATCAAAATGCCAAGGGCGATTGCAATGTTATCTTCTCAACAAATGGAACATGGTCCAAAAGCTACTGCAAGGCTGTCCAAAGCAGAGTCGTTTGCAAAGCCCCTCAAGGTATGTATAATTTGATTTTACAGGACTTTGCAATGATTTGGTTATTTATAGACTAAAACAGTTACAAGAGTATCCTGGCACACATTTGTGTCAGTTGCATCACCTGTCTCTCCCCAGGAACAGCAGCGCACAAGGGATGGGGTTAGCAAAGAACGCCATGGAGCCCTCTTCCCTGTCCCTCTGTTCTTAGCTGGCTTTTGGCCAAGCCTGGCCAGCTGTGCCTCCCACACGGCACACTAGCCATTATTTACAATAGGGTGAAACAAGGGATGGTTAGACATAGATAAAGAAGACTTGCACAGGCCTTCCCCTTGCCAGTAATGGCTTGCATGCCACAATGCACGTGCAGCTTTCAGCCAGCTGGAAGGCAGAGTGAAAGAGGGAGGTTGCGCAGAGTCCTGTACCAGTTCTTTCCTACACAATCAGCTTTGTCTGTGGTCACCACAGACCACAGTGTTTGGTTCTTTATGTAGTAGTAATACAGTAATATCATACTGACCATAATAGTTTATATGGATTGTAGTAAAGTGCTCAGAATACTATATTAGGTAGTGCTTTAACAGTGCTAGTCAGTGTATATTGTGATGAAATTTAGATTGAGCCTGTAATTAGATGGTTAGACATAGATAAAGAAGACTTGCACAGGCCTTCCCCTTGCCAGTAATGGCTTGCATGCCACAATGCACGTGCAGCTTTCAGCCAGCTGGAAGGCAGAGTGAAAGAGGGAGGTTGCGCAGAGTCCTGTACCAGTTCTTTCCTACACAATCAGCTTTGTCTGTGGTCACCACAGACCACAGTGTTTGGTTCTTTATGTAGTAGTAATACAGTAATATCATACTGACCATAATAGTTTATATGGATTGTAGTAAAGTGCTCAGAATACTATATTAGGTAGTGCTTTAACAGTGCTAGTCAGTGTATATTGTGATGAAATTTAGATTGAGCCTGTAATTAATCGTCATAATTTCAAATGTTTCTAACCTACTTTCCATATTACCATGTAAAAAAAACCCCAAAATTTTAATCCCACAATTGCCACTCTAAATTGCCCATCTAGAGAGATATAAAGGTTTCAGACTAGGGGCAGGGCTCTCACAACAGTGAATTATAGCCATAAGGAAAAGGTTGCCAAAAAAAGAAGAGGACGCACATTCTCCACCATTCGATTTTGTGAGAAGAAAAACATGAAACTCTTGTTATCTATAGAGTGAATAGAGCCACTGTGTAATAAATCATCTGGCCAGATGTAAGCAAGGCTCCTGCATTCCTATACATACCTTGGGAGACAGGCATAGGATAAAGCTAGGAGGACCCCACATGCACAGAGGGCCTCAGATTTAGACTTCTTTAGAGACTATTATCTCCAAATGAAACTACACACATAGTGACCAAGACCGTATGTCAATTTGTTATATGTCAACATTCAGAATATATCATGATTTTTGCAATTCTGTTCTGGTATTTGTAGTAGTATAGATGGGGCAGGAGCACTGGTCATCTTCCTTGGCATTCTTATCCCATATTGAAAAACAACTTATAGATCCAAGGGCCTTTACACCACGTCGTGAGATCCAAGGGCCTTTACACCACGTAGTGTACAAACACACTGAACAAGAAGTACCTAGGCTACAGAAATTTGGGCTTGTGAAACACTCCAGGCAGGAACCCATCCTCTTCACTATGTAAAGTATTACATAGTGTATTACATAGTGTATTAATAATAATACAGAAGTCTTTGAAGAAAAGAGACAGTCGTTTATCTCCAGAAACTCTCCTTTTCCCAAAAACGAGCAGGAGGCACCCTGTGCCAAAATCAAGAGAAGTAAAAGAGACAATGCGTGCCTCATAGGTGAAAAAGCAGAAAAACAAGACAGAACATCTTCAGCTTCAAAAAGAACCAAGTGGAGTTGCAATTGCATTGGCAGCTGCTTGATTCACAGCATATTTTACACTTCTGTTTGAATTGGGTGATCCTACAGAGACTACAGATTGGTTTCACACCCTGTGCCAAAATCAAGAGAAGTAAAAGAGACAATGCGTGCCTCATAGGTGAAAAAGCAGAAAAACAAGACAGAACATCTTCAGCTTCAAAAAGAACCAAGTGGAGTTGCAATTGCATTGGCAGCTGCTTGATTCACAGCATATTTTACACTTCTGTTTGAATTGGGTGATCCTACAGAGACTACAGATTGGTTTGGTGCCAATTTCCAAACTGCCCCCTCAATCCAGTGTGGTTTGATCCACCCTACAACCCCATTTCCTTTGATCCAGCCCTCTGCCAATCTCCTGCTCTCCTTATATGGTTCATTGTAAAGCCAGTGGGTTGTTTACAGTGGTGCAGAGCATTAGGGGAAAGGGCCCATTTCCCAAAATTCTCCATAACATACAAACACATCCCACAGAAACACAGAAGTCTGCTATAGTTCATTGGAGGTGCTTCTATTTCATATAGATTTTTATATTTTTTGTTGTTCATGCAGAGGTGATATAGCGCTAAACTGATATACCAATGCTGTGATAAGTTCATGTAGCATTATACTCAGTAGTTTGTGTTTTTTAATGAATATTTCAGGGCAATTAGGGAGAAAAATCACAGTGTTGGGTGTTCCCATTGTCCAAAAAAAATCATGTCACCAAGATACCATCCAGAGTCATATGCCCCCGCCCCCGTTCCTTTTGTAGAACACAACAATTCATTAGATGGAGGAAACACCATTCAAATCATCACCTTGAAAAACGTAAAATCATCCAGCAATGGGGGGAAGTTACTTTGGAAGAAAAAAAGGCTGGGCTGATTTGCCCAGTTTGAAAAATTCAAATGCATCTATTTTACTTCCACAGCAAATCCTATACTATTTGCCTGTGTAGTTACAGCCTAACGAAATATTTTAGTTTGGCTGCTGGTATGAAATAATTATATGGAATTTCCATTTAGAATATGATTTTCAGCCTAACCACTCCAAATTAATAGTTATCACTATTTGTCTGTTTTTTTCCGTCCTCTCTGACAGTTGCTAATCAAGCCGGAGGCGCAATCGCTGTTGCTGTTTTAATTATTGTGGTTATCCTCGCTGGTTTGATATGCTTCCTGTACAAAAAGAAGCAGCTGCATTGGGGTGGATTCTCTTCCGTACGCTATGAACGCGGGATGTATGAAGATGAAACAGACAGTATGTTTACCAGAGATGGCGATTGAAGAGCCGTTCCCGCTTGGTTGCAGTCAAATGTTTTCTTGAATGGGCTGTCTTGGCACTTTCTTCAGAGATTTGCTTTAGCAAATCCGTGCCAAATATGTTAAGTAGCAGGTGGATTTTGACCAACTGGGTACAGTGTGTTTTTATTGATCGTTAAAGGTTAACTGACAGTAACCTTTCTGTGAAATTTAAGAGGAAAATGTGTCTCGTGTGTTTTCATCAAATATTTAAATTCCCATCAAACTTTGCACTTTTCATGGGCTTTAAAGTTTGCACATCTATGGAAGGTACATGCTCTATCCTCGTGTTGATATTGAGATATGCTGCATATGCCCCCTCTGGAATCTATTAGAAGGTGCCCAGAGTCTGAAATCTAACTTAGTGAACATAAAATGTGTGAGACAGCTTTAAGGTTAACCACACTCCATTTAAAGCTCTGTACCCAGCGAGTCTGAGTAAATTTAAGGCCTTCTGCTGAAATGTGAAGTATCTTTTAGCCTAAGATTCTCTCCATGTTGTTCAAAGATGTAATTTGGACTTTGTGACTCCTTTTTAGTTTAAAAACAACAGTATCACTCCCAGCACACACAGACCTCTTTCTCGATTGTTTCCTACATGTAGAAGAAATTGTTTGTTCTGTTTTCCCTGTGATGGCATCTGTTTCAAGGAACCATTCAAAGCATTCTCCATTACAAGTAAAAGGGTCCTTAAGCTACACTCCTGGTCTAGAAATAAGCCTTTCTGAACTCAGAGCAACTTTGCTTCTTAGTATATATATATATATCTAGGATTGCATTATTAGTGAGTTTGGGGGAAATGATAATAAATTTATTACTTGAGGTATAAGACTAACATGTCTTCTAAGGAGTGGTGTAGTGGTAATTAATTATTCAGTGTAGGTGCTCATCACAACTGTCTCCATAGCCACACACCCAGTAGAACCTAAAAATGCAGGCAGCTGTCTTGAGCCATACCAACAACAAACCAGTTCTAGCACTTTTCATCTCCACTAAGATTAAAGCCAAGACACTCCAAAAAAGTTCACATTGCAACTGGGATAACTTGTAACACTATATTACTGTTGAGACAACTCTATCCTCCCCCCCAGTTCCAGTGAAGATTACAGATAAGGTACGAAATAAAAGGGAGGCCTGAGGAGCGTGGCAGATATTGCTAATTCCCTGTTAATCAAAAAGTCTTCGCTGCACCATGTTACTGATTTTAATACAATAAAAGGGAAAGCCTTCATTCTTACAGTACTGTAATTCCATTAACCTAGTGATGATGTGCAAGAGAAATGTGCAACCAGTACTAAAGTATTACTGATTTTTTTTTAAAAAAAAGAAATATTGTAAAAGTGAATAGTAAAAATGCATCAGTTTACTGCTAAGTTAATTCTTTTTAAAAGTCGATCTACATTATTGTTTTCAAATGCAGAGACCATAATCCTGATCCCACATAGGCAGGAGCTTCTCACTGCATATAAGGCAAGAAATGCTCTTCATAAGTTTGATGGATTTCTTCTCCTGTATAAGCAGAAGGGATCCTATGTGTGCATGGAGTTCTGTATTGTGGCTCAGGGGCAATGATTCAGCCCTGACGACTCTGTCTAGAGATAGGAACATGCAATTATTCAGTTGTGACCTCAGCAGGGAGGAAAAGAGCATAAAAATCTAATCAGTTTATCAACACAATTTTCTGGAGACAGATTTCTGTCTGCCTTACTTTCCAAACTCTGGAACAAACATGCATAATATACATGCCTATAGCACACAAATACACACATACAAAAAACACAAGTGGGCCTTTCTCCATATGTGTAGGAGCTCTTCTAGACTGGCATAAATCTTCTCTTTTTGAGGTCTTCCTCCGCATCATTTAAAATATAACATATTTTGATTTTTACGACACCTCCACAAGTATATTTTCAGTGACAAGAGCACAATAATCTGTCCGTATCAAATATGGTCAGGGGGAAGGATCTTGCTGTGAGGAGTGGAGCCACTGTTCAGCTCCTTATACCCTCTGAATAGGCGTGTGTTCTGGATCACACAAGTCAGCAAGTTGGAGAGGGGAAAACAAAAAGTGAAGCTTCACAAAATGGAATAATTTTGCAGTGAAAGTGGATATAATGCCTGTCTCCCGAACAGTGTTCAAAAAAATGCCACCAAAGACTTGTATGATACCATTCCGCTTAGCAGTGGCAACAGTTATGTGCTAACCATTGTGACTGCCGAGTCACAACGGTGAGGACACATAACTGATTAAAGCATTGTCAATTTTCAAGATGCCAAATATTGCTCTTCCGATATTTGGAAATTGCGATGACCTTGCAACAAATGCTACTCCAAGGAACACGGGAAAAGAAGATGAGTGTTATGCAAACAGTGATTGTACGGAGAGGCCCTTAATTTAGTGCCTGTATGAATGGCCCAGGTGGGACTGCTGAAGAAGAGTGGTGCACATATCTGTATCTACGTAGAGAAAAAGCAATGCACTTTACCTTTGTTGAATGCATGATTTAGGTAAATTATATGCCATTAATCAAGTCCAAAATTAGTAATGCTAGAGAAGTTTCTTCAGCATTTTCTTAAAATATGCATTTTATGAAAGTGTTTTTCTGACACAGGCCCTGACGCACGTCCTCGTGCCTGCATGTCAGGCAGACGATTAGTGTTGTCATGTGCGACAAAGTCAGTCTTCAAGTAGGCAACAGAGAGAAGAGGTGGGGCTGCACTTAGTCCTCAAACATACTAATCAGAGAACTAGAAAAGCAGGCTATTTACCACATATTAAAGGTTATTCAGACATACACTGGGAATTCAGGGGCTAATTTTCCAGACTGTACTAGCCAAAAAGAAGGGAAGGAGATCAGAGGAGGTTAGAAGGAAGTCAACATCCCAATCTACTCAAGCTCCTTTTTGGAGAGAAGTTTTGGGAAGAATAAGGTGTGGGGAAGGGCTGCAGTTTGGTGTTTTTTGTTTGTTTGTTTTTTTAAGAAAAAGGTTCTATCCTGACAGTGGTAGCCATAGTGCTGCCCTTTCATGTCCCCATGTTAAATATACTTGTGTAGACTGGATTGCAAAGACTACTGCATTCATCGTTCCCAAAACAGAAGGAGGTGATGCTTTATCACATGCTGTGTCCTTTTGTACATGCAGTAATTACTATGGTTTGGCATATTTTCAGTTCTCTAAATAGTGCATTCAACATTACAGAATTTATGACTGTTTGCACTCTGGCTGTTGTTTTTTTAATGTAAATTTACAAATAGAAAATTTATTTTAAGTATATGATCAGGGCTGTTCAAATATGCAAGATATATACATACAAAAATATGCCAGTGTTTCTATAAAGCATTTATTTGTATAATATTCTGGAAGATAAAATTTTTATGTTATATTTTTAACTGTGTGGGGTTTGTGGGCCTTGCCCCCAAGAACAGTTGTTCTTAGACATGTTGAGAAATGTTATGTGAATTAATACAAATGCCTTAATATCTCTGACTAGTCTTGTTCAGAATTCAAAGTGAAATCTACCTGTGGTCATAGTCTTAGAAATAGCAGATTTATAGAAAGCTTCAATGGTTGTTAAATTAGATTCATTCTTGCAAAAGAGAAAATTAAGTTGCAATAGTTCTTGACCTTGTAAGTTTTCTTCCCATTTTTCAGTATTTAAATATAAATTTTAAATATAAAATTTAAACATAAAGATGTTAATGTTACAATAAAGGTAAAACCAAAATCGGTATTGTGCTGGTGAATTGGTTCTTTGTGAGCAGGTTGCAGATAATAAATAAAAGCAGTTTCTCAAGTAACAAGGCAGAGAAATGTGTGACTGCTGTGAAAGTGTGATACTTATCCTTTGCTTAATAAATGACCACCAGCATAGTGCCCGGACATCATTGCTCACTGGTCAGGTGTGACAAGGTGCCCAGACTGAATTCAGCATTGATTGGCTCCTCTCATCAAAATGTCAACACTCCTTTGCTTACTTCCATGATGCAGCAAGAGCTAATGGTGCTCTGTGTTAGGATCACAAGCTTCAAAAAGCCAACTTTTTGAACTACAGCCAGTAAGGCCTTTACGTTTTCCAAGTTCTGGCTCTAATTCAGACTTCCAATATACCCTGAAAGTACAAGAATCAAATAAGGCATACCACTTAGCTCATATCTAGAAGCAGTGCAACTATCAGCACAGCCCTTGTAGCTGTGAAATGTATCAGCTTTGTACTAGACTAGAGACAACATTGGATTTGTTTGCTGGACTGGATTGTATTTTTCTAACTCTTGGACTCTTTGCTAGTAGAACGGGACACTGGAAATGTTTTGTCCCTGTTTCTAGGGAGCTTGAAAAGAAAAGACTGAGCAGGGCAGAGAGCATGAAACTCTCTTAAAAGACCAAAAGCTGTACCAGGTAGACAGCTCCTGGGGCCACTTGCTCTCTTAACATTCCCTCCTGAATTAGGGTGGGGGGGCAGCGGGTAGTAATTAAACAAAAAGATGGAAGACGCATTGGGGAGATATAGGAGTGTCACAAATGGAAAGTGACATAAATTTACATGCTTGAGACTGACAACAAAGTAACAACCTTGTTGAGAAATGCTTTATAGATAAAGGATGAAAATGATTTATGTAAATTAGAGATTATCAGTGTTAACTAGTAATGAAGGGTGGAAAGGAGCCTGCAGAGATTAAGAGCAAGTCACAAAACTGGAAGAAATCTCACAATATCTATTCCATCCCCTTGTGCCGTTTAATTTTCTTGTACCATTCACTGTTATTTGACCCTTTACAGGTGTGCTAGATCAGTGGTCCCCAGCCTTGGGCCTCCAGATGTTCTTGGACTACAACTCCCAGAAGCCTTCACCACTACCTCTGCTGGCCAGGATTTCTGGGAGCTGGAGTTCAAGAACATCTGGAGGCCCAAGGTTGGGGACCACTGTGCTAGATGACAAATTCTACACTGCCAGCTACAAACAAATTGTGAGATTTATAGGCTAAAAAAGATACATGCACACAACTCGGCATCATGCCTGCTGCAACTACAATCATGTCAATGTGGAAGGGCTAGCCATGAAGCACTTCCATCAGCTGTTGGTAAAAATGGAAACCACACCACTGATTGCACAATCAACTTGTACAGTCTTTATGGTGGCAGCGGAACAGTTGGCAATTTTACAACGGCATAATGTTACATTACAAATTAAACTAGATTCTGGCCATAGTCCAAGGGGAAAAAAAGGCTGGGGGAGCCAATTAAACTACAGAAAAAGCCAGTGTGAAGGATCAACAAACAAAACTCAGCTATGGTAATGGTGTCAACCACAGTAACGTATGCCATTTTCTTCCTTTCAAGCTAAAGCGTAACACTGAACAAAACGAAACACAAATTTTTTCCACTAATATTAATCTAAGCTAGGTTTTATATCCTCTGACTAAAATTTTAATCAATTTTGTATCAACAAGCTAAGCTCTGAGAAGTTATTATTAGCCTTGCCATCCATAATTTTAATAATCCAATTTCAAAACATTTGAATTGGTTGCCACCACCATGGAAGTTAGTTCTATACTGTAAGTATATGCTGTGGGATAAATACCTTTGCCTGTCCTGAATCTCCTGCCATTCAATTTCTTTGAACAAATTTGGGCTTGAATGTTAAGAAAGAGGGGAAACTGTCTCTTTTCCCCACAGTATAGTGTAAGATCATAGCTTTCCTAAGGGTACAGTCTCAAGGCACTTACTAAACAGCAAATGAATATACAATAGGACTTAAACATGCATAAATTCATGATAGGCAATTTCCCATCATTTAAATGTTGGCAAACTTTGTCGTCAGGCAGGTTTAGTGACTGGCTCTCTAAGAGGGGTTTTAAAATGGGATGGTGTACTGTTGTTTTTGTTGCCTTTAAACCTGTTCTAGTAATGTTTTCTCTTAACATTTTTAATGTTTATTTAATTCTTAACCATTCTTAGCTTTCAATTGGTGTCTTTTTTATATTATGTAAGCTGCCCTGGGACCTCTTTTAGGAGGAAGGCAGTGTAAAAATATTTCCAATAAATAAATAACATAAATAAATCTCATTAATAATGACGAATGATGAGAACAAGTATGAACTATAGTTTCCCTTTGAACGATCCAAAACACCACCATCAGATCAAGAAACATCCGTATATTTCACAGATTTAACCCATTTATAATCTGCCCTGTTAGATGAAGTTAATAAGAAAGTGAATCTCCTAAATTTTAATTCATTTTGAACAGTTTTTATCATCATTTGTTGTATTTCCCAAAGCCGACAATGTAAGCTGTCACTTTCAATCCAATCACACACATAATGTCTCTGTGCTAGCAGCTGGAGTAAAGCTTTGTGCTTTTTCTGTCTAAAACCAAAGGCTCACCGCTTAATACACATTAAGAATTTATTAGGAAAACCATTACCTTCTTACAACATAGACAGATGACAAAGCTGAAAGGGTGAAAGGATATCATGCAATGCACAGCCAAAACTGATTGAATTGTTCAAATAGAGAGAAGACATCAATAATACCTTTGTATTTCTCCACTTACCAAGATGTTTCAGATCCAGTTCAAAATATCCATCTGGCATGCAGTGAACATTGAAAAAACAGATTTAAAATCACTCAGCTAATTGCCTATGGCAACCTGGTTTATACAACCACAACCACACAGAAGACTGTTCTTTTGGCAGACCAGCCTTGGCCAAACTAAGGGTGTAATACTGTGTGTATTTAGTAGAAGTATATCAACTTAAGTAAATATAGTGAGATACAAATCTATGTAATCATATGTAGGCTGCAGCAATGGGTAATTTGTGGCATTTAAAAAGAGTGGCATCTATTTATGCAACATAGTGAGTTTACCCCCGCAGGCAACACTCTTGATTACAATACAACTAATGGTGATTGAAATCAGCTAAGAGGAACCAAGAGGTTTATCATGCATATTTTTGCCAACACTAAGACCAAGTTTAAGGCATTGACACTTCCTGTTTTTAAACCACTTAATCAACACATTTGTTATTATCATTAAATTTAACATTTGTATCTAGCCTTTCTTCTCTCATAGAACTCAGGACAGTAAAGGTTGGTTTCCATCTAGGGTGGCTTTCAGCAGATCTTGAGGTCTTTTTATCAAGATTGTTCTATCATCATCAACCACCTTAAAAGTTCATACAACACGTGACTATCAAGGCTTCTTGCTCTCTTTAGTTAAAGGAGGAGAATGAAAAACGTGCACAAATAAATATTGCTACAAGGGGAAAATCCCTCTATTCTCCTCGCAGTGATAATTCTCTGTGCAAGTTTTTTATTCACCCTGGAAAACCTAATGGAAAATTTCAGAAGATTTATTGGCTGTTTCTTTTTTTCTTTTTTTCTTTTTTTTCTTTTTCTTTTTGCCAAAAGAAATACCACCCTGCATAAAATGTTTACAATTCCTCCACAAAATGACTATTTTCCCGCCTGATCATGAGAAAAGCACCAAATTGTGCAGAACTTGCCAGGTTTTGTGTGTGTGCAAAATAAGAGGTGAAAAATGACAGGAAGTTGGGAAATATTGCTGGCACTTGGGAAGTTTCAGCGAGGAGCTTCAGCATGGACCATAACTAGTAAGTTTGGCCCCTGGGATAAGCAGCACAAAACACAACACACACACTGCCTCCAGCCCCTATAGGGACCACCCACCTCTTCCAGGTGCCCTCTGCCAGCACAGGGCTTGTGAGGTTACCAAACAGAGTGAGAGAGTGAGCAAGCAAGTGGGTGGGTAGAAGTGGGGAGTGGAAGGCGAAAGGGTTTGGAGGGAGCTGAGACACAGATTGATAGAGTGCAACTACTGGCTCTTTGAAAAAGAGCAGAAATGCAAGGCTTATAAATGCAGACTGGCCCACACTAAGGATCCTGGGCCCAAATTTCTGCACCCTATAAATGTTGGTGCCCAGATCAAAGCCCCACTCGCTCTGCCCTAGTTACAGCTCTGCAGCATGGCAAAACTGCTGAGAATCAGAAAAATTTTAGTACTCTCCACTTCCCTATTTCAGATCAGGTCTGTACAAACCAAATGGTTCCAGTTAGCTCAATAGTGCTTGCATATTCAAATTGTAATTTCACAAACAACAAATAAGGGTCATGTTGCTTTTATTAAATACCAAGTTTTATTCCTATGGATCCTTACTATGTTCCACTGAAAACAGTGAGACAGTGCTGAGTGTAATTAACAGCAAGCATCAGTTCAGTTAGGAAAAAACCAAGCACAGTGCAGTCAAATAAAATTTGCTCATAAATAAACTCAAAACCCAGAACAGATCATTCAACCCACATCTTCAGGCAAAACCTGCCACCAAATGTCTGTAAACCTCTAGGAGTGTTTGTAGTAATTTCCGATATAAAAGCAAGATGCTGGTATGTAGGTAGGATGCTAAACACAGTCATCTGCCTATCTCTTAAGAACATAAGAAGAGCCCTGCTGGATCAGGCCAAGGGCCCATCTAGTCTAGCTTCCAGTTATGGCCCCACCAGATGCCTCTGGGAGCACATGGGACAACGAGATACCCGGTGCCTGATCACCCTTCCCCTGCATCTGACACTTTGAGGTACCTTCTTTATTAGCCTGGAGATTATACATCCCCATTTTGGCTTCTTTATGCTTCTCCTTTGGTTATTTTCCCCTGAGCTGAGCTTTTTTTCTTGGACATAAGTTGGCAGAGAAATAGTAAGAAGAGCAAGCGTTCAGCAGCCATTTTTCCATCATCTTCTCACTTGGTATCATCTCCTCCCTTGTTGCTTGAGGTGATACCATAAAGCAGTGGTTTCCAACCTTGGATAACCCAAGTGTTCCTGGACTGCAACTCCCAGAAACCCCAGCCAGCACAGCTAGAGGTAAAGGCTTTTGCAATGTGCAGTCCAAGAACACCTGGGTTACCCAGCACTGGGAACCATTGCTACGAAGCTTATAGGAATCAGGCAGGAAGGAATGGTTTAATACGTGTTTTTGCCATCGCGAACAGTCTGTTCCAGGATGCCCAGGATAGCAACGTTTAAGCCTCATCAGGTCAACAGAAGGTAGGAGTTGTGTCCTAACAGCTTTACAAGTACTCGTTATATTCAGAGAAAAGTGGTGCCTAATTTAAATTCACTGAAAGAGAGATCAGAAGAAGACTGAGACTCAGAAGGGCAGCTCTAAAGGAAGTAGAAAATATTCTACATAGTGCCACCTTTGACCAGAGCCAAAATCTATAAAGGAAGTAGAAAATATTCTAAATAGTGCCACCTTTGACCAGAGCCAAAATCACTCATACAGTACTATGGTATTCCCAGTCATTAGGGACATGGAAAGAGATGGGAAACTGGTTAGATGGGAGGGGTTGTCGTAACTTGATTGCAATTGGATCAAGGCTAATATGAAGTAATGTTTCTACCAAAGCACTGTCCAATTGTACAGATTTCAACTGGAGTAGTTCCCTTTGGCTAAATTAGGTACATAGTAGTACTGTACTGTATTACATTCATATGTTGCTGAGGCACAAATGAAACAACACGGATACCCTCTGCTGGTCAACGTGCATAGAGCTGTTAACTGAAGCCGCAGCATTTTGTGGAAATTGTTGAAAGACTGGTAGACAGACTCAGAACCTGTCTGAATTCCAAGGAGCTTCTGCCAATCAAGGAAAGATGTGTTTGTTTTATTTTGAGGTAAAGAGAAAGCAGATTAGCTCTAAAGTTACAAACATATTGCTATACATAGTCAAATTGTTTATGATTTATGATGACAGTGACGAACACTGACAGGAAAAAAAATGATTCATTTTAAATCAATTTTTTTGCAGATACCTTGGATTGCCAGAAAGATGAACAAGTGGATCCTAGATCAAATCAAGCCTGAACTATCTCTGGAAGCAAAAATGTTGATGCTGGAGCTATCCTACTTGGGGCACATCATGAGAAGGTAGGATGCTCTGGAGAAGGTAACAATGCTAGGAAAAGTCAAAGGCAGGAGGAAAAAAGGAAATACAAGATGCATTGACTCCCTAAAGGAAGCCACAGGCTTGACCCTACAAGAGCAGAGAAGGCTGTTGAGCAATGGACATTTTGGAGATGTATAGGGTTGCTACTGACAGCACAAAACAACAATAATGTTTTCAACGTATGTGAGATGTCCCCAGGAGTGGTTTGCCACTGCAGCTCCTCCAGGGAGTTTCCATGACCAATCAGGGATTTGAACTTTAATCTCCCAAATCCTCATCCGGCACTCTATCCAATATATTGCACTACTTTCAAAAACACACTACCAAAAATTTAATCACCCACCCTTCCAATTTCATAATATTGTGTCAAATTTACCCTGTAACCTTTTATGCGGTTATTTCAGTGGGCTGACTTTACTGAACTAGGAGTGCATCGCTCGAGAACCATCAAGGATGGGATTGAAACAGTGCTTTTAGCCGATCCAATAAAATGCTTCTCATCTTTCATAAAAACAACAGAGTTTTGTGCCACATTTAAAACCAACAAGTTTTATTTGGCGTAAGCGTTCACATAGCCCACTCTTCAGATGCCCTGGAATGCTGCCTCAGTAGACAAACATTTAAATCAAGAAGGAGGGTGCTGTTCATGAAAGCTTATGGAGAAGAAAACTTGTTAAGTCTCAAGAGTATAACCAGACACTTGGTTAGTTTTCCTCTAACAGAGTAACACTGCCGCACCTGGAAATTTCTGGTGTCATATATTCTTAAGCACGTGTGTGCAACTTAATAGATTTTGCAATACTATAAAAGATGCTTGTGATTTCATTTCATTTCATTTAGCTTCGAAATGTCTAATGGGGGGGTGTTATATCCAATAAATAAGACAACATTCACATCCTGTTTCTTCAGAACACTATTATTAAACTCTGTTGGGTTTTTAAAACAGAGAATAAAAGAAATTAATGGTGTAACATTTTATCACAATCAGGACTTGGACCCACAAAAAAAGTTATCCCATGGGCTTTTGAGTACGTATCCAAATTGACTCCACGTTCACTCAGTCCATCTAACCATCCTGGTTTGTTTGTACATACAGTACATTTGCATCCAGGACCTTGCTCAGGAGTATAGGAATTTGGTGTATATTGCATATCATCAGAAAAGCATTATTTGAAGAGGCATGTTAAAAACTAAATCATATACTATATATTGCAGTGGCTGCCCATAGGTTGAAAGCCAACATATGTACTGTAATCTTTTTAACCAGCTTCCACGAATCCAGACAGTAAAGAGGCTCTAAATCAGTTCCTAGCAAGGCTATACATTGACTTCAAACACTGTTTACCAGGTCTTCTTGACATCTCTAATTCGGAGACGGTTTAATTCTTCCCTTTCACATAGAGACACACACAAACAAACAAACAAAAACTAAAAGTGTGAATGATCTGTCCTTTTTTTGTTTGTTTGTTCCTTCGCAGATGCAGAGGCTTGCTTCTATTAGCTATTTTGCTATCGCACAGCAACACGTTTCAGTTACTACTGATACCCTTTAACCTGGATAACCCGAAGTTGCTTTTTGTGGATTAGTGCCGATTGCAAGAATGCAGCCGAGAGTGACAGGCCGCAAGTAGTTCCCCAAAAATAATTAAAGGAAAAGAGATCTTGTGTTTCTGAGGAGAAGGATATCAACAACAGCTTTAAAATCCTACTGCTGAAGAACGAGTCAGGGCAAAGTAATCCTTTCTAAAGCACTCAAGCGTTGCCCTTAGTTGTGGACGTTAAGCGGTGGAAAGAAGTGGAAGACTTTTGTTCGTTCGTTTGTTTGGCACCCTTCCTGTGGCTTCGAACCAGGGCGCGACAAGCCAGTGTGTGTGGCTCCCTCGCCTGCAGGATTCCTGGCCGGTTCCATTTGTTTCCTCCCCATCTTTTCGCGCCGCTATAATCTGCAGGAGAAACACGCCCATGTTATCCCACAGCAGGGAACCCTCTGGCCCTCCAGGGGTTCGTTCCGCAACTCCCATCAGCCCTAGGATGGTGGCTCATGGGAGCTGCAGTCCAAGAACATCTGGAGAGCTACAAGTTGCCCGCCCCCCCAGGGCCCCGAAGAAAACCCGCTTACTAAAGAAAGGCGGGCTGCGCGGGACGGATTTCCAGCGCCCTCGTCCCATATCCCTCGTCCCTTTGCCGCCAAGGAAGAGGGGAGTCCCGCTGCCCCGCACCCAAGCCGCGCCCGCCCCCCCGCAGACGCTTCCC